CGGTGTGACAACAGCACAGTGAATTATCCTCTCTGGGCCCGAGACCGCTCCCCGCTCCGCCCCCTTCTTTCCACCATGTTCAATCCTCGCGCACCTCAATATGGTCTCCTGAGAAGAGTCAGGAATAGCCGTGAGCACCAAGGGTGTTGCCTCCTGCGCCCCCTCCCCTTTTTGGCTTCAGTTTTGACTCCTTGGCCAAACCCAGTGGCGCTAATGGGTTTCTCCTGGCTCAGTGACGGGACTGTGGCCCTGGGGGTGAAGACTGTGCCCCCTGCCTGCAAAGCATGAGCTCATCCTTTGGGTCATCTCCCTTTCTTTCTTTCTTTCTTTCTTTCTTTCTTTCTTTCTTCCTTCCTTCCTTCCTTCCTTTTTTCCCTCCTTCCTTCTTCCTTGCTTGCTTTTGGGTCACACCCAGCAATACTCAGAGCTTACTCTTGTCTCTACAGTCAGGAATTACTCCTGGCAGTGCTTGGGGGACCATATGGGATGCCGGGGATCGAACCCAGGTTGGCCCCATGCAAGGCAAACGCCCTACCCTCTATGCTTTAGCTCAGAGCTCTATAGCCGGAAGTCCAGGCCAGAGCCTTGGCACTGCCTGTCTGCTTATGCTGGAACTGTGGGCTCCCCCGCGTTCTGCGCTCTCCTTGTGGTGCTGGACTTGGACGACCTCATGGCCATCAGCAGGGGCGTCTCTTGGCACTCACTGGCCCTGGCACATGGGTTTCAAAGCCAGAAGAGGCCTTCTGCTTTTGTTTGGGGACACTTCCGAGGGGCTACTCCTGTAATAATCTTTGGCTCTTGGCAGCACAATTACCTCATCTGGGGCTCACATGTGCTCAGCCCAGGTTTGATACCCAGCACTTTATGGTCCCCTGAGCACCAGTGGGCTTGGTCCCCACAGAAAACCAGGCTAGGTGGGCAATCAGCCTCCCCCCACACACACACACCCCACAATCACCAGAGCTGGCCCAGCAGACCCATCTCCGAGGCCATCCCGTCTGCCCCTGGGTCTCCCAAAGGCCCTCCCTGACCTTTCACTCAGCCCTTGACCCTCAGGGCAGGGACAAGCCTAGTATTCTGTCTCCTGAGCAGGGGCCTCTTCCCTCAGTCTCCCCTCAGACCCCCTCCCCCATGGTTCTGCATCCACGCCCCCTTCCAGGGTCCCCTCAGGGCTTAGCAGCAGAGATGGGGGGGCAGTGAGCTGCTCCCCAACTCCATCGGAGCGAGTGAGGGAGCTGGCTAAGAGGCGGGGAAATGAATATTAATTTATCATGATTAGGCAAATCCGGCAGGGAGAGCCGATTCCAGAGGAGGCTAAAAAGATGAATTTCAGCAATAAAATTAAATAAGGACGGACGGGCGGCCCCTCCTCCCTCCTGCTTTGCTGATCTCTCTCTTTCTTACAATTTATGAGGCCAATTATGAAGATGAGGTTGGAAGTTCCTGGAACTTCACTAAATGCAAACGGCGGTCCCTGCTGTTCCCATCAAATTAATTAACCGCGCGCTATTGATGGCCGCTCAAGGCTGACGCAGCGCCGGCCCCGTGGCCGCCTCCCAGACCGGGCCGAGCCTGAGCCTGGGCCTCCGCCTCCTGCACCCCCTGCCCAGCACCATGGGGGACTTTCAGGGACCCCCTTGCAGCCCCTGGCCCTGCCCAAGCTCCTGACAACAGTGGAGCAGGCACACGGGTGGAGCTGGGGACGCTGATACCCAGAGTCGCATCTGGATCTGAAATCGGGACAACCACCCCCCACCCCACCCCCCGTACAGGGCTGGGCAGCACGTGCCAGGGTGCTGGCACCCCAGAGAAGGAGCAGCTGGCAGAGGGGCCCCCTGGAGCGCCACACTCTGGGCTCCAGGGCATGCTCAGGCCGCCCAGCAGAGCCTGGCAGAGCCACGGGCAGAGGCTGCCCAGCCGCGCGGGCGCTGCGCCCTCCTGGGTCTTCTCTCGGGGCCTTCTTCGAAAGTGTTCTCCGCCCTTCCATGGGGACAGGACAATGGAGATCAGGCCGGTCCCAGACTTTAGGCCAACTTGGGGACTTTAGCTTGGAGGGTCTTTACTTTACTTTACTTTAGCCGGGTAGGGCTCTCCCTGGCTCAGGGATTCTGGAAAACTCACTGGCTGGTGTCTGGGCGGAGGGCAGAGAGGATGAGAGCCGCAGGGCTGCTCCTGTCCCAGGCCGGTGGCTCCTGGGGGAGCAGGATCTGGGGGAGGCCAGTGCTGGACTGTGGGCTTCCCAGGGACGGCTGGGTGGGGGTGCAGAGGCGCGAGGCCGACTGTCTTCTCCAGCAAGAGCCTATCAAGCGCATTTAAAGGGGTCCCGAGGGCTGGACAATAGCACAGTGGGTAGGGCATTTGCCTCGCAACCAGCCCACCCAGGTTCAATTCCCAGCATCCCATATGGTCCCCTGAGCACCGCCAGGGGTAATTCCCGAGTGCAGAGCCTGGAGTAATCCCTGTACATCACCAGGTGTGACCCAAAAAGAAAAAATCTTGAAGGGGTCTCGAAACTCGCCTGGAGGAGCGGGATGCGGGCTGGAGGTCCCGCTCAGGCCTTGGATGCCTGCCACATCGTGCCCATCCCACACCTGGCGCTGTGCCCACAGCTGATCCTCCACAGGCCAGAGGAAACTCGGTCCTCATCATCCCCTGGCAGTGCGAGTGTAGGGCCACAGCGGAGATGAGGCCTAACTCGGAGATGGAGCACGAGGCTGCAAGGGGAACGAGTGTCGGGGGAAGTGACACGTGAGGGGGCTGGGCCTGAGCATGTGACAGCCAGTCAAAGGGCGCTGGGGCCGGGGGACCTGGACTGCCCGGCCTGAGACTCTCCCTCCCTGAGTCCCCCCACCATGGGGGCGCCACTCACAGGTGCCTCCCCCCCCACCCCCCAAGCATTTCTGGCTCTCTGGGGCCGCAGTGACAAAGTGTCACACGCTCAGCCCACAGGCTCCTCAGCCAGATGCCATGGCGATAAAAGGGCGTGTGCGCGGAGGGTGGGGGATCCACCTGGTTTTGCCCATCTCCGGAAACACGACTCATTCTGCAGCTGGCCCACCCCTTCCCCCACCCACGAAGTGCAAACATCGCTCCTCCCGACCTTCCTTCTTTCACTTGTAGTAGGAAAACGGTCTCTGCTTTGAAGGGGTGGGGACTGGACTGGGTCTCTACCAAGAATAAGTGAGGATGTTATTCGCTCCAGCTCTTCTCTCCCAACTCCTTGACTGTAAGCCGTTTTGTTCATTTTTGTACACCCAGCTGTGCCTAGGGCTTACTCCTGGCTCTGCATTCAGGGGTCACTCTTGGCAGTGCTCTGGGGTCATCTGCGGGGTTAACCATGTGCAAGGCCAGCACCTTACCCATGTACTAGCTCCTGGCCTGGACTGTAGTTTCATGTTCGCCTCCAAGGTGGCACCATTCAGACTCTGGGTGTTGGGTGTGGCCGTCTTCGGTGTTGTGTGTGTGTTTGGGGGCAGTGCATCTTTCAGCTGGTCGTGCACTGGGAGGTCTGGCTCAGAGTCGGTGATGATGAGGGGGCTAGTGGGCAGGATGGTGCCCCCTTTTCTCCTCAGGACCATGTGGGAACTGGGGGGGTGGTTGGGGGGTGCGGGGGGCGCTGCACATGACAGTTCCCACTGAGGCGCTGAGACTGTCTCAGCTGGATGGAGACTGGGTTGAGCGCTTGCCCGGGGCGAACCACCTTCTGTGCTGTCGCTCCCTCTCCCAACTGGGCTGCTTTCCCAGGACCCAGAAACCCTTTTGACACATCTCCTGACTCCCGAGCGGCCTTTCATGCCACCCCCGTGGCTTCCAGGGCCAATCAATCCTGTGGTGAACCCAGAAGACAGGCCTGTCACCGGGTCAGGAGTGTGGCCCACTCCAGGACTGCTCCACCTCCCGACCAGACATAGGTCAGCTCCCGACACAGCACTTGACCAAGATGACCAAGACGCAGGTGTCAGCACCCACCTCAGCCTCCTCCAGCCCTGCCCATGTCCGCCCCGCCCCCCAGGGCCTGGTGCTCCCAGATACAGCCCCCTCCTTTGTGCTTTCTCTTTTGGTGTTTGGTTTTGGGGTCACACCCAGTGTTGCTGAGGGCTTACTCCTGGCTCTGTGCTCAAGGATCATTCCCCAAGTCATCCTGAACCAGCAGCCGAACTCGCGCTCATCAGCCCTGTCCATTCTGGCCCCTCAGCGCCACCCCCAGTTCTCTTCCACCTGTTCTTCTCCTGACCCCGCCCCCACACACAACACACACACACACACACACACACACCCCTTGCACCCAGCATCCTCTCTGAAGCAGGTTCTTTACGTCATCCCAAACAGCCCGCTGACCTGTCTCAAAAAGGCTATTTCTCTGCCCAACCCATACCTCCTCCCCTCCTCCAGGTAGCCTGCCTTGACTGCCAACCCTGCCAGTGGCACATAACTCACCATTTAGTTGTTCTGAATGAGTCTTTCCCCCAAGGCTCTGGGACCTCCCACAGCTGGTTTTGGGGTGGGGCTAAGCAGGAATGCTGATGGGAGGGGGACAAGCTCCTAATTTCCTGACTCCACGAATTCCCCCTTTTCACTAAGTTCGCCACTGCCTCACTTCTGGGTCTGGTTGATGACTGAGGCCCAGCTTGTTTGGGGAGCGGCTGGCCAGGCTTTCTGGTTCCCGCATCCTGCTGCCCGTGGGCAGGGGCCGGAGGCTGCAGCGCTCATAGACTCCAGGCAGAGTGGGTGTTAAGTGCACTTTACTGGGCCCCTGGGCCATGTCCCAGCCAGGCCAGAGGCACCCCTTGGCCTGAGCTGCGCAGGAAGCAGAGGGTGCGGGGACTCACGGGGCAGCTCATCCTCCTGCTCTGAAGGGTCCCGGGCTCCGTGAGCACCCAGCTGCCCACTCTCCTCCCGCAGCCACTTTGCCATGGGCGGGGAACGGGCTGCCTCCAAACCAGCCACCGGCTCCAACCTAACGTGGCACCGGGCAGGTCCTCCACTCTCCTGAGGTGGGGGCACCACTCTCCTGAGGTGGGGGCAGAGCGGGGTGACGGCCAGGCCGGGCAGGCCGCGAGTGGCAAGTGGCGTGGGTCCTTCTCCGCGGACCCCAGCAGGGTCACCAGTCGCGCTCGGCGGGCTCTCGGTAGGGCAGGCCCAGGAGGCGGAAAACGTCCTTCTCCGTGGGGGTAGGCAGCACCTGGCCCGGCCCCACCTTGAGGCCACGCGGGCCCCGGACCACGGCGCTGCTGAGCGCATGCTCGGACAGGCTCATGCCCTTGGTCTTGGCCAGGGCCCGCATGGAGCGGTTGAAGTGTGCCGAGCCCGTGAAGTAGAGCAACGCGCAGGCAAACTCGCCGTAGGGGACTGTGATGATGTCCAGCCGCCGGTGCCTCCGCCCTGGCCCTGGCAGCCGGCACACGCCCAGGTACTTCTGCTGCTGGCCGTTCTCCTCCTGGCTCACCAGGTCATCGGTCAGGAACCCTGTCCCACAGGGGAGGGGCTGGCAGGGCCATGGCCGGGTCAGGCCCCCCACTTCCAGCCCTCCCCCCATCATCTCGATGTCCTCTTTGCCCATTTATTTTCCAGGCCGCCTCTCTCACTTGAGCTCGGGTTCCTTTAAGGTAAGGTACATAGCCCTGCCCTGTCCCGCCAGAGACTCCGCCCTGCGGGTGTTACTGAGCCTCAGTGCGGTAAGGAGGGGGTCATCTTCCCCGGAAATGGCTGGGGGGGGGGTGGCTCTCACCATGCAATCACCTGGCCCCCTGCCTGCAGGTTGCCTGGCCCCCTGCCTGCAGGTTATGATGTTGCGGGGGGCTTTGGGGGGCTGCCCAGTCCCACCCCACACCCCGCACCTGCCCAGGCCAGGGCTTTTACCTTGCTGCCGAAGGTTCTCAAGGAGACGACTGAGGATGCCTTGATGAGAGCGACCATCAGGGTGAGTGACCAGCACATCCACGTCCCCACAGCTTGCCTTCCCCCGTCTGTATGAGCCACACGCCACACACAGCAGCCCGGGGCTCAAGGCCTGAGCGGATTCCCGGACCTGCGAGAGAGCAGGGAGCAGGGAGAGGCTGGAAGGCGCTCCTCTCCACCCCCCACCCCCCAGGAGCCGGGGCCAAGCCCGGGGCACAGAGACATGGGCTTAGCTGGAATGGGAGGGAAAACCCGATCACATCGAGGGGGAGGAGAGGGGTTGGGGGCCAGAGTGATAGTATAGTGGGTAGTGCCTGACCCAGGTTTGATCCCCGACATCCCATATGGTTCCCGGAAACCCGTTAGGAGTAATTCCTGAGTGCTGAGCCAGGAGTAGCCCCTGTGCATCACTGGGTGTGACCACCTCCCATCATGGTGGGCAGAGGAGAGAGCTAGAGGTGTGCACCCCTCTTCTGAGGGAAGCGATATTTCCCCTCCGGGGCTCAAGAGCAGAGATTCACCTCTCCACTCCCAAGATGCCCAGTCTTTGGAATTCAGGTCAGGACAAAGGGTCTGGAACCTGTAGTCGGAGCTCAGAAGCTGGGAAATGTGGATGATGGAGGGAAGGCTGAGGCGTGAGCAGCTGGCTGGCCCCAGACATATAACTGCACCAGTAGCACTGCACTGTAGCACTGTCCTCCCTTTGTTCTTCAATTTGCTCGAGTGGGCACCAGTAACATCTCCATTGTGAAACTTGTTTGTTACTGTGTTTGGCATATCGAATACGTCACAGGTAGCTTGCCAGGCTCTGCCGTGCGGGTGGGATACTCTCGGTAGATTGCCGGGCTCTCCGAGAGGGGACAGAGGAATCGGACCTGGGTCGGCCACGTGCAAGGCAAACGCCCTACCTGCTGTGCTATCACTCCAGCCCAACTGCACCAGTAGGGAAGGAAAAGCGGCAAAGGGGGGGCGGGGGCGGAGAGGACTTGTGGGCTCTGCATGCAGGGCTAGATTCGATCCCTGCTACTCCGTGCTCCCCCCACCAGGAGTGACCCCGCCAAGCAGAGAGACCAAGTAGCCCCCAGAGAACATCTGGGTGTGGCCCAAAAAAGCAAAAAGTAGGAAAAAAACCCCAAAAAAGTGAGAAGAAGTTCCTTGGCAGAGGGTGACTTGCCTGGAGAAGTGGCTGGGCGGGGTGGGGAAGGTGAGAGGGACAGATCACAGAGGGGGATAAGCCCATTAGCCTCCTCCTGACACCAGGCCTTTCGCATGCAGATGGCATCTGCCTCCACCCCAGAATGCGGGGATTTCTGGGACCCTGGATACCAGAGGCCAGGACACCTCAATTCTCCTGACAGACAGGCCCTGCTAATCCCCTCTCCCTTCCTGAGCCTCCTGAGGAGGGGCAGAGGCCTAGGATGAGTAATCCCATCAGAAATTAAAGAAAGCCTCAGGCTGGCGGGCTCTGAACCGGAAGGGGGGTTGGGGTGGGGTGTGCAGGCCAGGTGGGAAGCCACTTCTGTCCCACAGGGAGGGGGGGCGGTGGGCTGGCCGGAGCATTCTCCGAACCCGGACACCGTGGCTGAGTGACAGTGTCATCGCTAGCCCCAAGGCTTGTGATGGGTGGACAAAAGGGCTGTCCATCCACACTGCCTGGCCTCAGGCTGGTGGCCTTGCAGGAGTGCAGAGGCTGATTCCTACTCAGCACAGCCAGAGTGGTCTGTACCGTCAGGCCCTGGCCCCGCACAGACCACCACTGGCCCTAAATGGACGCTAGCCTCACTGCAGCCAACTCTAAAGCAAAGCTTGGCCAAACCTTATTTTGAGAACGGATTTTTTTGTTGTCTTTTGGGCCGCACCTGGCTTTGCTCTGGGTTTACTCCTGGCTCTGCACTCAGGTGACTTTGTAGGATGCTTGGGGATCAACCCTGGGTTGGCCTGTGTGCAAGGCAAGTGCCCTACCTGCTATACTAGCTCTCTGGCCCCTATTTATTTGTTTTTGGGTTTTGTTTCGATGTTTGTATTTTGGGTTGTTTTGTTTGTTTTTTTGTCTGGTGTTTGTCCCACATCTGGCTATGCTCAGGGCTTATTCCTGGCTCTGCAGTCAGGGATCATTCCTGGTAGGTTTCGGGGAACCATATGGGGAACCTGGGTCAGCTGTGTGCAGAACAAATGCCTACCCACCATACTACTGCTCTGGCCCGAGAACAAATCTTAATACAAAAAGCACCTACTATTAAGGAAACAGGGGCTCAAATGATAGCACAGAGGGTTAAGGCACTTGCTTTTGCATGTAGTCAAAGCATCAAACCCTAGTCCAAATCCCATGCACATGGTCCCTGAGCATTGCCAGGGGTGGCCCAAAAACCAAAGGAACCCCCACCCCCCCAGAGAATTCTACTCCTAAATTCAGCCGCACCTCAGCCCTGCTATTAATCCTGCCTTCCTCAGAGCACAAATCTAATCCTGATGGCCTCATGCACCAACTCTACTTCAAACCCTGAGAAGCCCCAGTGCTCAAGGAGCTACAATCGGGAGAGAGAGGAAACTTCACACCTGTATACATGTCAGAGATGGAGAGTCCTTGGTTTTTCAGCAGGTTGTCAAAAAATTTTGCAAATCAAAATAATGTTAAGAGGAGCCTATGACACAGCAGGTAGGGTGTTGGCCCTGCACCCAGCTGACCTGGGTTGGATCCCTGGCATCCCATGTGGTCCCAAAGCACTGCTAGGAGTAATTCTTGAGCACAGTGCCAGGAGTGAGTCCTGAACGTCACTGGGTGCACCCTCCAAAAAATATTAAAGAGACCCTGTGTGGGTCCATTTGAATGTAGGAAACTGGTTCAAACTTCAATATCCGTAAGTCCTAACCGTAATCTATAGAGGCCTAATGTGTCAACTCATTTTAAAATTTTGCTTTGGGGGCCACACCCAGCAGTGCTCGGGGCTTACTCCTAGCTCTGTGCTCAGAGATCACTCCTTGGGGAGACCATACATGGTGCTGGGAATTGAACATGGTTCAGGTGCCCTATCTACTGCAGTGCCCTACAGTGGGTACTGTGCAAGGCAAGTGCGGGGCAAGTGCCCTACCCACTGTACTGTCTCTTGGCCCTCCACTATCTCAATCTTAGCAGTACTTAAGCTTCCAAGTCAACCTGGCCTGTCAACCAGGAACCCTCCCCAGAGAGCCGGCTCTATAGCTGCGTGCAGCCAAGTCAGCCCTCACCTGCTTCCCCGCTGCTCCCCACCCTGATGACCCACTTTCTGCAGTCGGATTCCCCTGACCTCAGGGCTGGGCTCAGCTCCCTTCCCTGATCAGGGCCCTGTTTACCGTCTGTTCAATTTCTGCAGCCTCCTCCCTGGGCATGCGCTCTAGGAAGTCGTCATAGTGCTTCAGGCCAATGGCTTGCTGGGTGGTCAGCGGCACCTGGTCGCGGATGTCATCTAAGCTCCGGAAGCCCTGCAGAAAGGACATGGGCGTTCAGGGGGGCAATGAGGATGCAGGACCAATGATGAGAGCGAGTGAGCTGTGTGTGTGGCTTCCATCAACTCGCGCCCACAAGGATGAGCTCTGTCCCCAGTGGCCTTGGGAAGCCAGGGAAGATGGAAGACCCCTCACCCAGTGCCACCCGCCTCCACTCTAAAGCGTGGTTCCCAGGCCACGCTTGGGAAGTAATTCTGAGCAGGGCCAGGCACAGACTCATTTACTCTGGGCCCTTAGCCCCTGGTCCCCTCTGGAAGGCCCCTGCTGGGCTGGGGGGACAGACACATACTTCCTATCTCTCTGCATGCAGAGATGAGGGCCTCAAGTCACAGGGCCCAGAGTAAATGAGTAATGAGCTCTTGGGGAGCCAGAATGGGTTCCCTTGCCAAGTGGCGTCCCCTATGGTCTGGGTTCACGCCCATCAGAGCATGGGGTGAGAGAACAACAAGGGTCGAAGGACACAGCAAAGATAAAGTGAAGGCTGGTACGGGGTGTGACCTGCTGATACCACATCTGGGCAGTCTTGGTGCCAGCCCCCCAGATGTTGGAGAAGAGTTCCAAGACTGGCACACTCTCGCTGATGTGGTCCAGCTTCCTCAGGTGCCCGCTCTCCAGGATCTCCACAATCTTCTCGGCCATCCGCTTCCCAACCCCGGGGATGCTGCAGGCCTCCTGGAGGAGTGAGAGGAAGGGCGAGACATGGGGCTCTGGGGCCCTGGATGGATCCTGATGCCAAGAGCAAGTGGGAGGCATGGAGCCATGGGCTGCAAAGGGCGGGGAGCCTTCGCAGTTGGCCAGTGGGTCATGAGGAGTGGACAATGAGCCTGCAATGGGCTCCATCGCTTGTCATTCAGATCCCAGAGAGGGGGGCAAGAGCAAAGGAAGTGGGGAAGAGGTACTAACAGCGCTGTCCCCAGCATCACCACTGCTAGCACTCTGTCATGGCCACAGTGACAAGCGACGGACACTGAGCGTTCTAGTACCAGGACCATCTCCTTCTCAGGGACCCCGGCATGAGGAGATGTGTGCTCAAAAGATTTATATAACTTGCTTAAAGACACACAGTGAACTCCAGTCTCTGGTTTGCTAGTCCCCAGAGTCTAAACTTTTTTTTTTTTGCCACACTCAGAGGTGCTCAGGGTTGATTCCTGGCCGGGCTCTGGGGACCACACGGGGTGGTGTGGATCAAACCCAGCTCAGACATGCAAGACAAATGCACAACCAACTGTACTACTGCTCCACCCCCTCAGAGTCTACTTTTAATTACAGAAACAATTCAACCACAGTGGTGAGAGCAGTGGAGGAGCCCCTGCTTGCTTCAATGCCTATCAGGTGTTTACCAGCCCTTCTCCCACTCAGTCCTTTCTTTGGTACAAATCTCAGACCTTAGCAAAAAAAAAAAAAAAAGGCTGGGGATGGAGTGCAGGGCACATCCAGACCTGTTCGGGGCTCTTACTCATGGCTCTGTGCTCAGGAATTTCTCTTGGCAGAATTCAGGGGACTGTATGGGATGCTGGAAATAGAACCTGGGTCATGCAAAGCAGGCGCTCTACCAGCTGTACTGTTTCTCCCACTCCAGACCTCACCAGCTCTTAACCACGACACCTGGTCCTCGCTTAGGCCTGTACCTCACCAACCTCTGGCCCCCACGCTCCCTATCCCAGCCCCAGGTACCTGGTAGGTGGTGACAGGCTTGTGGAAGCTCTTGAGGGCATTAATGGCCTTGGTGTAGCCCAGGGCCCGCCACTTGTCTCCCTGCACACTGTAGGCTTTGGCCAGCACTTCCAGCTTCTCTGTGATGTGGGGGTTGTGGTTGGTCGCCTTCTGGCTCGATGGCTGGGCACAGACCCACTTCTCCAGGCCCTGGAGGCCTGGGCTGGGTTCCCCATCTCCCTCGGGTGGCGTGGGGTAGTGGCCACTGATCAAGGCTTCCAGGTCAGCTGCACTAACCAGGGCCTCCTCCCCATCGATAGTTTCATCATCAGAGTTGGGCTGGAGGTGGGGGAGGAAACGACACCCTCAATTCCTGGCCCCACAAAGGTCGGGAGAGTAGCTCATCCACCAGAGTGAGTCCGATGCCCGAGGGAAAGCCCCCCAGGCTGCTAGGGATCACCACAGCTGTGAATGCCAGTGTGAGTGTCGGGATGAACTAAGTGACTCCCAGCAAGACACCCCGAGCCACCCCCTAGGCCTGCCCTATTTACGCGCTCCAGGTCCTTGGGAGGCTCCTGACCTGGGCCTGGGTGCTGGAGATCTCCTCTGCTCTCCCAGGAGGAGATACAGGTCTAGGGACAGGGGCTGGGGCAGAGGGGGCTGCTCTGAGCAGGGTCTCAGCAGCCACTGGAGGAGGAGAGATGGGGTCGGCCTTGTCGTGCTGAGGTTGGTCCAAGAACCTGCAGGGAAATGATGTAGGATGAGACAACAAAAGTCTCACCCCTCTGCTCCTCATCCTTCTCTACTCTAAAATTCTGGTTTTCCAATGTGGCTCATAAGACAGTGAGACTTCTTTTGACTTATTTGTTTGTTGTGCACCCACATATGGCAGTGCTCAAGGGTCTACTCCCAGCTCTGTGCTTGGGGGTTGCTCCTGGTGCCGCCAAGGGAACCATGCAATGCAGGGGATCAAACCTGGTCCTCCAAAGACACTGCATCTCATTGCTTTGGGGCTTTGAACTACTCCTTTGCTCCTCAGACAATCTGTGAGGAGAGAGGGGTTCGGGCCACACCCAGCAGTATGCAGGGGCTATTTCTGGCTCGGTGCTCAGGGAACATATAGGGTGTAAGGATTCGAACTTGAGTCATGGCCAGCACGGCTCCATGCAAAGCAAGTGCCTGACCTCTGCACTATCTCTCCAGCATGAGGAATTTGGGGGGGATAAGAGAGTATGGGGGCAAGACACAGTGGTGCTCAAGGATCACTCCTGGTGGGGCTCTGGGCACCATAGTAGTGCTAGAGATCGAATCCAGGTCAGCAGTGTGCAGGCAAGAACCTTCACCCTTGTATTATCTTCCTGGCCCCCGGGAATTATTAGTGATGACCAAAGAAGAGAATCAAGATGCTCCAGAACATATTGAAGCAAAGACTGGGACAGCCCACCTGTCAGGGATGAAGATGCTGAATCCCGCCGTGTCCATCAGCCGTCCCTCCTGCAGGCACAAGCTCAGCCAGGCTGACTTCACCAGCTGAGTGGCTGGGTGCAGCCGGGGCAGCCTCAGCAGGCGGAGGGCTCGCTCACAGTCCATGCCGTCATCCACCACAATGTGAGTAACTCCTGGGCACTGAGCAGGGCAGACTTGGCCACCATGCTGGACGATCTGCCTCTCAAATAGTTCTGCGCGGGCTCGCCCAATGCCAGCAGGCACAACGTGAGCCCGCACGTCCCTCAGCCACTCTGTGGAGGGGATAGACAGGTGTCTGTTGTCATTACTCTCAGCAGTGAGTTGAACAGGCCTTAACAACAACCTGCCCCGCGCAATCCTCTCCTTCCAGACAGCCCTGCCTGCCTCCTGGAGTCTCACCACAAACATCCAGCTGATTTGCCCCATGGGCTTTCACTTGAGCTAACAAGGAGGATTCAGATATGTCCTGTTCCCTGGTGTGTCCTGGAACAGTCTGGCATGTGCATCCTAGAACCACTCTGCCTATGAGTATTTCCAACAAATATAATAAGCATTTACTGTGTACCAGGTGCCCGGATGCAGGTCTGTCATTGCAGACCTCACAGCCTAACGAGCCTCCTGCTTCACCCACCAACTAAACCCTTGCTGTCCATCTGTCAATCAGAATGCAAAGGATATAACTGTATGAACCTCAGAGCAGGTCTGCTCACCTCCTGCTGCTTCTCCTCCTTCCCTCCTAGGAATCTTCGAAGAGGCTCTTGATGAGGGATTGCCGTGAATTTTCTTGCGTTTAGGAAATGCCTTCAAGATGCCGCTAGGGTCCATGGAGTGATGCCGGAATTCTGGCCTATCTGAGGGTTTGATGGAGGTAGCTGCATGTGGAAGCCAAGAGCTGAGGTGCCTTAACTCCTTTGCCTACAGATGTGGAATGGCCATGGGGGATGGGGGCAGTAATTAAGTTCAAAGTGGTATCCAGGGGCTGGAGCGATAGTACAGTAGGGAGGGCATTTGCCTTGCACCCGGCCGACCCGGGTTCAATCCCCCACATCCCATATGGTCCCTGAGCACTGCCAGGAGTAATTCCTTTTTTTTTTTTTTTTTGCTTTTTGGGTCACACCTAGCGATGCTCAGGGGTTATTCCTGGCTCTGCACTCAGGACTCAGGAGTTACTCCTGGTGGTGCTTGGGGGACCATATGGGATGCCGGGGATTGAACCCACGTCAGCCCTGTGCAAGGCAAACGCCCTACCCGCTGTGCTATCACTCCGGCCCCAGGAGTAATTCCTGAGTGCAGAGCCAGGAGTAACTCCTGAGCATCACCTGGTGTGACCCCAAGAAACAAAAACAAAAAAAGCAAAGTGGCAATCCCAAAACTCAACCAAATTTTAGGGGCTTGCTCTGTACCCATTAAACTTTCATAGCCAGAGAACTGGGGAAAAGCAGGAGCAGCCTGGATCTACTGAGCGCATCAGGGTGGTGTTAGGAATCTCATTCCTCAGAGGGTTCTCAAGATGAGGGCAGTGCTCCTGGGCACAACACTCTCAAAGGGCTTTCCAGAAAGGTGATGGCAGGCTCGATTACCGGGGAGGGGCACACCCAGCGGTGTTCAAGGGTCACTGCTGACGATGCTCACGGGATCCTATGCGGTGCTGGGATCCCAATGGGGTCTGCCGCACGCGGGGCGAGTGCCTTACGTGGTACTTACTCTCTCTGCGATGACATAGGGCTACATCTTAAGGAGGGGCTTGGACTCCCCAACAGAGTGGAGACTGGAGGAAACGGAACAACCCCCCCCACAGGGTTTTTTTCTTCTCCCCCCGCCCCCCGCCGTCGCCGAGCAGCAGAGGGGGAGAGTAGCGGGGCGCTGGAGAGGAAGGGGAAACTCCTGCACCTGCCCTCGTGGCGGGCCGCTCAGCGTGGGGTTGATCAGCCCGGCAGCTGCGGGGAGTTGGGGCTCGGCCGCAGCAGGTGTGGGTGCCTTCCGGGGCCGCGACCCGGGGAAGTCTCAACCTGTCAGCTGGGGAGGGAGGAGTCCGCGGCAGGTGTGGGGGTGGGGTGGGGTGAGGTACCCACCGCGTAAGCAGCTGGCAGGCGCCAGGCTCTCCCAGCTGGGGGACCAGAGAGGTGGGCTGGAGTGTCCTGATATTCCCCCAAGGACCCTCTCTCTACCCACGGTGCTCGAGCTGGTGTACTCAATCTCAGACCCCGCGAGCCACAGGGGCAGGAGAAAACTACTTACCTGGGCAGGGCAGCCAATGAGAGCCGGGGAGGGAAGGAGGGAGGGATGGCGAGGGGAAAAAAAAAAGCCTTGCCCGGAACACCTTCCGGGTCATCCGGAAGTGACCCTGGGTGGAGCGGTTGCCATGGCAGCGGCCAGCCGCGCGGCGGAGCCGAGGAAAGATGGCGGTGACGGGCTGGCTGGAGAGTCTGCGGGCGGCCGAGAAGACGGCGCTGCTGCAGGACGGTAACTCCTCGTCCTTCCCCTCCATCCCCCCGGGGTTGTGGCGTCCGCGCGGGCCACCCCGAGAATGGCTTCGGGGCCTGGGACAGCGGAGCTGGCAGGGTCGTGACCGCCCCCTGGGCCAGGTTCTGCATTTGCAGATGGAGGAAATTGAGGCCCGGAGAGAGGACGTGGCTGGAGTCCGAGTCTCTGGACCGCCGCGGGTTTCTTTTACACCGCCGCCGCCTTAGGTTACTAGTAATCATTCGTTTCGCGTTCACTGTCACTTGCTCTTCACTGCCGTCGCGCGAGGCTTTTAATGCCCACGGTTGCTGAAGGCAAAGTGTCCGAGGAGCCCAGTCCCCCCCGCCCCCCCCCCCCCCCCCCCCCCCCAGCCAGCCCGTGGTATAGCTGGATCCCATGAACTGCGGCGCGGGGCTCTGCGCCCGAGTTCTCCAGTCTGGCCGACCTCCAGCAGCTTCACTCACTTGGACCTCACTTTACTCATCTTTACTACCATGTGGACGGGCTTTAGGTCCTGCTCAACTCGAACGTTGTGTTTTGGGCCACACCGGCGGTGCCAGTGCTTTGGCGTGGCTCTGTGATCTTAGAGATCACTCCTGCCTGGTGCTCAGGGGACCATATGGGATGCCGGGATCGAACTCGGGTTGGCTGTGTGCAAGGCAAGCACCATACCCACAGAACACTTGTGAGTACGTGTTCCTCGAGTGTTCAGGGAAGACAGTGAGGTCCCCCCGCTCCTGGAAGTGGTATGCATTGGAGTATGGAACCCCCGACCTCTGCGCTCTAAGATCATGAGGGTGGGTCCCTGCTCCCACCCATTTGCTGCCAGTAAAGTAGGCCTTATTCCTGTCCCCTTCAAAATACCAGGTGGAACTTATCCACAGGCAGTGACTGGTCAGGGAAGGGTGAAAATCAGAATTAAAATCAGCAGCTTGTTTGCTCATTTTGACCTTAATGCCTTGTACTATTAGTCAGATTCTGTACTGGAGTAGACAGAAAAAGACATGTTGCCCCAGGAGTTCTCTGAGTGAGGAAAAAGACATGAAAATAAATAATAGAGGCTGGAATCTTCTCCAAACTGCTCTTTATTTCCAGCATGTGAAGCTGGAGATGGTCATCTACTTGGGGAAAGATCCCAAAGTGACATTTATGGGATATTAAAGAGTGATTAGGTGCTCATTAAGTGAGAAGAAGGGATGGCTAGCTCATGAAGAGTGTGGGTAAACCTTGGAGGAGTAAAAGTAACATGATTATTAGCACTGTAGCACTATTTGCTTGAGCAGGCACCAGTAATGTCTCCATTGTGAGACTTGTTACTGTTTTTGGCATATCGAATATGCCACAGGGAGCTTGCTAGGCTCTGCCGTGGGGGCGGGATGCTCTCGGTAGCTTGCCAGGCTCTCCAAGAGGGATGGAGGAATTGAACCCGGGTCAGCTGCATGCAAGGCAAACGCCCTACCCACTGTGCTATTGCTTCAGCCTAATATGATTATTAGGGGAATGGAAACATTTAGCAGTTATCCAGTCACAGCCTGGCCTGTGACTGTTACCATAGACCTCCATGCCAACTTAAAGAGTCTGGACACTGGAGTCATACAGGGATTAAGGGACTTGCCTTGCATGTGGTTTAGTCCCCTGCACCGTGTGTAGTTCCCTGAACATCACCAGGAGTGATCTAGAAGCACCTCCCATTGTGTCCAAAAGTCAAAAAAAGATTCTGGACATAACTTCATAAGGGGGATGTGTGTGTGTGTGTGTGTGTGTGTGTGTGTGTGTGTGTGTGGGTGTGGTGGTGTTCTTGTTATAGTACGGTCCTGAGACTTGAACCTAGAGTTACACCCCTGGCCCTGTTTTGTTTTATTGAAGTGTGACTGACATTGGACATTGAGTTTCAGGGGTACAGTGCTTATGTGCATTACAGAATGTCAGAATAAGTCTGGATTTTATTTATTATCTAACGTGGACCATATAGACTTGATCGCTGGGGTTGTACAGTTCTGTAGCATAGTGTACCTTTGCATTGTTGTGCCACCACTATCCAGTTCCAGACCCTTCACGTTTTTTAGCTGAAAGGATGTTGAGGAAATACTGATCCCCATCTGTCCTAGATCCTACCTACCATCCTACTCTTAGACTTTGTGAATCCTGTTAGTCTAGGACCCTCATGTAAGTGGTCAGTATTTGTCCTTTTGTGGCTCATCTCACTGAGCATGGTGCCTTCAAGTTTCATCCGTGTTGGCACAGGTGACAGCATCCATTAGTTATTTTTGCAGTGCCAAGAGTTGAACCAGGGCCTTACACGTGCAAGGTAAATATTCTACTGCTGAATTATGTCCCTAGCCTGACATCTTTCTTTTTAAAAGCTTAGTAGTAGTCCAATACCCAAAGCACGCTCTGTTCTTCCACCCAACTGTGGGCACAGGCTGCTTCTGCAGTTCCCACTGTTGTATGGCGCTGCTGTGAGTGTGGCCTACAGATGTCTGTGGAGTCCCTGCTTTCACCACATTTGCTCATAGGTCAGCACTGTCCTCCTGTTGTTCATAGATTTGCTCGAGTGGGTACCAGTAACATCTCCATTGTGAGACTTGTTACTGTTTTTGGCATATCGAATACGCCACGGGGAGCTTGCCAGGCTCTCCGAAAGGGACGGAGGAATCGAACCCGGGTCAGGTGCATGCAAGGCAAATGCCCTACCCGCTGTGCTATTGCTCCAGCCCACAGGTCAGCATTTAGGCAAATATTTCCTTGGCTAGGAGTTTGTTAATAGCATAACAAAATAATTTTACTTTGCTGGAGAGATAGCAGAGCAGGTAGGGCACTTGCTTTGCATATGTCTGACTTGGGCTGGATTCCCAGCATCCCGTATCCCCAAATCCAACCAGGAGCAACCACCAGGTGTGGGCCAAAAGCAAACAAACAAACTGGAAAAAAAAAATCCCCACAGTATGTGAAGTCTTTGGCTGTGCTTTGTCCAGCCCTCTGTAGATGAAGCCTGCTGTGTGAGCTAGGGCTGGTTACCTCCATCCTCGAATCACTGTCATTAGTAATATGAACCAGCATTTTTTTTTTGGAGGGTGCGCTTTTGGGTCATACCTGGTGATGCTCAGGGGTTTCTTCTGACTTTGCACTCAGAAATTTCTCCTGGTGTTGCTCAGGGGACCATATGGGATGCCGGAGGTTGAATCTGGGTTGGCCACGTGCAAAGCAGAAGATACTGTACCCGCTGTACTATTGCTCTGGCCCAAACCCAGCATATTTTTTTAAACTTTTTTTTTTATCGATTGAATTTCTGTGATACTGTTAATGATGGTTTCCCCACGCACATGATTCCAACACTACCCCCATCACCAGCATGACCACTCCACTCCTCTAAGGACCCAACGCCCATCCTTTCAATAGCCTCCCCACCATGAACTCAATTGCGTGGAGGTGTTCTCCCATTGTTGAATCTAATGTGTTTTTAATATTTAAAAAAAAACGATTGTTGTTTCTTGTGAAAATATGAAAGATAATCAAGTTGGAAGTTGCCTTTGCATGCAGAAGGCTCCATCCCCAGCTTCACATCGAGATTCCCAAGCACCACAGCATGTAGCAGTAGTACGCCCTGAGCACTGCCAGGTATGGCCTACAATAACAAAGAAAAATGATCAAGTCTCACTTAATCCTATCACCAGGGAAGATGATAATTTACATTTTCATTTTGTTTTTTTTTTCCCAATGTGCCCACACTTTCGATTTTTTTCTTTTGCTAAGATCTTTGAATGTTTATATCCACTTAATATATATGTCAAGTATATGTTTCCAAAAATGCCTAATATAAAAACATTGCAATCTTTGGGTGAGATAGGATATTCTTTTTTGTTTGGTTGGTTTTTGGACCACACCCGGCGGTGCTTAAGGCTTATTTTTGGTTCTGTGTTCCAGCATCATTCTTGGTGAACTCAGGAGACCATATTGGGTGCTGGGGATTGAACCTGGGCTGGCTGTGTGCAAGACAAGCGCTTTAATCCCTGCGCTCTCTCGCTCTCTCTCTCTCTCTCTCTCTGATCCAAGTTGCATGACCTTTAAGCCCTTTAAGCCTTGAGTTTCCTCATATACAAAGTACAGGTGATGCAGTTCTGTTGGGTTTTCATGAGAATTCAGTGCAGTGAGCCCTGTGAAGTGCCTGGCCAACAGTGAGCACTGCTTGTCACCCGAAGTCAAGGCTGTTTGCCCAGGAGTAGAGGGCAGGACATACATGGCAACTGGAAACCCTTCCTGACTCTATAGTCATCCAGATGATTAAGGCTGGGACCTGCTCAGAAGCCGTGCAGATTATGGGAGAGATTCCCCAGAATGCAAATTAGGAATGACTCCAGGAAACTGGCCTGAGGGAGTGCATTGAAGAAAGCCTTGTAAGTTTTAGTAAGAGGCACCCCGGGATGTTAGGAGTTTTGCGACTTTCCCACCTCTCCCCCAGGTGCCAGAGATCAAGTCTGGGCCTCACACATGCAAACAAATGCTTCTCAGCCTTCCTGGCCACTTGAAGAAAATGTTTATGATTAGCCACATAGAAAAGTCAGGCTAGGAGACTCCCTTATGTTCTTGTATTGATAAATCGTGGTTCGTTCATTCATTCTTTTAATCACTATTTGTTTGTGTTTGGGGGGGGCGGGGGAGTAGGGGGTACTCCTTGCGGACTTCTGGTTCTTTGCTCAGGCATTTCTCCTGGCAGTGCTCAGGAGACTATGGGGATCAAACCTGGGTCAGTTGGTGTGCAAAACAGTGTCTTACCTGCTGTACTCTCAGGCCCTCAATCACTAACTCTTAATATATGCCGGGTAACTGTGCTTGGTGTTAGGGAGACTCTGAGCAGGGGCCATAAAACCCCTTCTAGTAGAAGAAACGGGTAATAAGCGTACAAATAGGTGGGAAGACATAGCCAGGTAAAGGCTGAGAAGAAACCCCAGGGTCCTGGTGTGGAAATGGATCTGTGGCAGCACAGAGAGCAGAGGGAAAGGAAGTAATGTCAAAGGACCTGATGTGCTTCAGAAGGTATTCGAAGGTTATGGGTGGAGATCCTGAAAAAAGCACAGTATGGGGCGGGGGGTTGGGTGGGGGCACAAACAGGAAGTGATCAATTTTACCGAGGTAGCTGGGGGGTCATAGTCAAGGACTTCCTAGTGGAAGTGACATTTGAGCTGCCTTGACGGGCGTGGAGAAGTCTAGCTGTTGCTAACCAAGGAAAGCTGCTTCCTGTTTCACAAGGCACTGAACCCATGTGGGGCGTGGGGGAGACGGCGTCACGGTGGGGCTGAAGGGGCTCTCAGGAGGTCTGGGGCTCTTGATCTGCAAGGTACAGACAAGAGGAGACTTAAAACACAGATATAGGGGTGACCCCAGTGGGGGTGGGGCCAGGGCGGGCGAGGTTCTGGCGGCCACTCTCTGCGATGCTCAGCCCAGCAGTGCAGGCCTGGATCAGTGCTTGGCCTGGCACTGCAATGGGATGCAGGGGCACCAGGGTCACACCTAGCAGGGTTTGGGGGCCCATTTGGTGCCCTAGTGCTCGATCTGTCACCCTGGCTGCCAGGGGAACTCTGAGGGGAGGCCTCTGCTTTACACAGGCAGAAGGAAGGTGCACTACCTGTTTCCGGACGGGAAGGAGATGGCTGAAGAGTATGATGAGAAAACCGGTGAACTGCTGGGTAAGTGACAGGGCTCCCTGCTGACCCTTCCAGATTCCTGGAATGACCTGAGAACAGGGGGATGCCACTAGCCCACCCTCTGAGCGCAGCACCCAGGGTAGATACTTGGGTATACAGAGGGCCCCAAATGAGGTCAGTGTGTCATGGGAGTTTCGGGGCTGGACATCAGAAGTGAAGTGAGTCCATTTGACCACCAACCCCCATCCCGGTTTTTCCCACCCCCACCCCCAGCATACAGCCTTGACTTTGCAGGAGTGAGTACTTCCGAGGGGGACGGGTGGAAGGGCCAGCAGGAGACTCGCTTTCAGAGGTGGATCTGGGAGTGGATCTCACTGGGGAAGCAGTGGCAAGCGGGGGCCTTTCCCAGCAGGTTTTCCTCTTGTTCTTTGTTGGGGTTTCTGTAGCTACTCGAGGAACAAAGCTCAGTGCTGCTTCTGGTCCCCAGGGGTGACTCTACTCAGTCTGTAGATGTCTGGTTGCAGGGAGTCGCAGCAGGGAGAAATGGGGACTTTCTCTTTCCCATTCCTCTAGCTCTTTCCCTCGCAGAATAGGCTCATGCATTGGGCCTGCAGCTCAGATGTCTGTGAATTATTTGATTCGTCCGTTCTCCATTCCCAAGTCCTCACATTAACATTAACCGCCTTCCCAGAGCTTGGGGGCTGGTGCCTGACCCAGAGCCTAAGGCTGTCAGCAGTGGGAGTTGGTCTCTTTATTAAGTTCTACCTGAAATACTAAGACCTATGATGGAATCATGGGCTGGGTTATTTTCTTGTCATTATTCTTGACTTTAATTTCTTCCTGGACCTGATCGACAGGTAGTATTGGCCAGGGAATTTCTTTTTCCCCTTTTCTGACAGCTCATAAATGTCTCGAACCGACAACACGGATTACACTGGTTTGCATTCTCTTAGTCTCCAGTCTTAAAACGTGTGTCCTGCGCATGTTCTGTCGCAGAGAGAAGTGTTGATCCCTCCTTATTATGAGCTGCTTGGGCTCCAGTCCCAATTGGTTTAGTCTGGTGCTATTAAAAATCTTGATGTGTTTAGCATATGACACTGATTTGGTGGAAACCAATACAGTAGTAATATCCTCACAATGCATTGTAATTTATAGCACTCCCAGGGGGTGACAGCCCTGGAATGCCTAACTGGGGCGAGCTTATGAAAGCCAAGGTCACGTGGGCTAACCACTACCATCACCGGGCCAGAGACTAGCTGCAGCTCCCTCCCCCGGCCCCTGCATCACCTCTCCCCTCTACACAGAGCAAATAAAACAGTGATAGCCGCTGTGGTTATGAAAACAACAAACAAATAAAAGCCCGCGCCGCTTAGTTGTACTTGGACTTGAAATTAAAATGAAAAACAAGCCCAGTTTCTTTCATTTGTAGCATCCCACATTAACCTGCCATCTTTCCTTCATTTTTCATTTTCTGGTTTATGGTTTGGGGCCACACCTGGCTGTGCTCAGAGACTACTGTGGTTGATCCCTGAGGTTGTGGGGTGCCGGGGATTGAACCCTGGTTGGCCGTGTGCAGGGCAAGTGCCTTATTGGCCATACTCTCTGACTACCCTTCTTCCCTCCAACTTTTCCTCTTGGCTGGTAGGGAATAGATAGAGCCCACTAACTCCTTTTTTTTTTTCTTTTTGAGCAGAAATGGAGGTTCAGAGGAGAAATACAGTTGGCGAAAGTTTCCCTTGGTAAAGATATGAATGCAATACTTATTGGGCAGCATGCTAAGCATAGAGGTGAATCATGTCATTGAATCATCCTCATTTACAGCCCTGTGAGGTGGTACTATGCCCCATTGTACAGATGGGGGAAAAAGTCAGAAGCTCCAAGAGTTGTTAAGCCCCTTGCACAGAATCATACCACTGGCCAGTTTCTGAGCTAGGGTTTGAGTCCGGCCACAGCGTACTACTCAGAGTTGAGAATAGTTGACCTCCCTTTTTTCCCATTTTACCTAAAGTGTTGCTTAGGAACCCAGGTCAGACAGAAACGTGCAGAACTTCTGCCTCCTTGATGCCTTTGTTTTGGAACCACATCTGGTGGCGCTTAGGGACCACTCCAAGTACATTGCCTGGGAGTCACTCCTGGCAGTGCTCAGGGGACCGTGGTGCTGGGGATGGGACCTGACCTCCTGCATGCAAAGCGTGTGCTCCGCGCTTTGAACTCTCTGTCTGCGCCCTTTGTAAAGCTGCTCTTTCTCTACCGTCCCTGGCTACCAACCTCTCCCGTACCAGCTGCCCTTGCAGCACACTCCTCATTATTAATTGTTAAGTACAGTGGCAGGGTTTTTGTAGCATTCAATGGGAATTGTTTCTCAGATGACTATACAAATGTGTTTGTGGCCAGACTGATTTTCTGTTAGAAAAACTCAGGGCGAAACTCACTGAGGAAGACTCACCGGGTTGCGTCTGCGGAGGGCAGAGCTCCTCCAGTCAGAGTTAATAAGCAGAGTGGTGTCATTTTTCCCTGCCCTCTTGGTGCTATTCATTCCCGCCCCCCACAATGAAGGCTGTATGTATTCATGGGGGGGGGGTTGCATCGGAGGGCCCCAGAACAATGATCGGAACATCAAACCAGCCCCAGAAGAACACAGTATGTCCAGGGGGGCAGAGGCTGAAGGGCAGCCATCCCCCCACGATTACATTCGGATTACTGGCTTAATCTGCTTTGGTATTTGACCGCCAGCCTACACTGCCGGCTTCACTGGAGGCTCCGGAGCACTTTCATCCTCCAGCACTTCACCCGCTTTACAAATGACCCACTCGATTCCCTTCAGCCTCCTCAGGGATGGGCTGGGGCAGCTGTTTAATAGCCACAGAGCAATGTTGCGGTGTTTTAGGGCAGAAAAAGAAGAATCCTGCATCCAATCGAAGCTGCAGGGAGGATTTAGGAAAGGGGAATGTAATTAGCCACGTTGGAAACGTGCCAGGCGCAGAGCTTTGGGGAAAGGCCTTGAGGAGCTCCACTTTCCAGCCCACCGGAAAGAGGGGCCTCCTTTCAGCAGTCTGGGGCTGCAGCCTGCTCCCTGCTGACTTAGAAGCCCCCGCGCACGGCCCCAGGCCCAGAGGGCAGCCATCCCCCGCAGCCACTGCTCTGAGTCCTCCCAGGCTGCCCTTCCCAGGACTGGCCTCCCTCAGCCAGAAGACAGGCCAGCATCCTAGGGAGCGGCCACGAGTGTGCCAGTTTGGGTTTAACATATAATCAAATCAGAGTGACAGCAGGTGGAACAATCTTCACTTGCCGCAGGAGCTTGTCCTTGAGTTCGGGGAACAAAGCCAGGACGAGAAGGATAAGCCAGCATGTGTATTAGCACGTGCACACTCATGCCCACCCACAGGGCAAACATAACCAAGGACTTGCTACCAGCATTGCTTGGGTCTTAGCTCAGAAGGGGATGAATACGGAGAACTTCATCTTCCTGCTAACAAAGCATGTAATTCCTCAGGGGGTTACAAAGCAGAAAGGTGGGACAGCCAAGGAGATCAAGTCCCTGTTCTGAGAGGCTAGAAGGTCAGTGGTAAAGGACCTCTCCACTTCCTGTGGGAGTCTGTGGAAGATCTCCACTCAGAACCGAGTCCAGCAGCAGCAAAGGAGTGGATGGGAAACTCGGGATGGGGATGGTGTCCTCGGGAGAGATGACTCGGCCAGGCCTCTAAGCACCTCATTTATCCTGGTCCTCCAGGATAAATTCATTCATTTCATGTTTGATCATTTTTTTTTAAGACTAAAACCTGAAAGGGAAAAAAAAGGAATGACATGCAGAAAGAACCCTTTCTAAATATGCTTACCGAACATTAATAGAATATAATTTAATCTTTCTTAAAATAAAATCTTGGTCTTGGGAGTTAGTAGATCTGAATTTTAGCTGTAGCATTTGCAAGTTTGTTTTTCCTCTTTCTGAGCTGTCTTTTTGGGTTTTTTTCGGGGCTGGGGTGGGGGTGTGACACACCTGGCAGTGCTCAGGAATCACTCCTGGAGGGCTCCAGGGACCATACGGGGAGCTGGGGATGGAACCTGAGTTCACAGCAAGCACCTACCCGCTGTGCTCATGTTCCTGCCCCCAGCTCGTCATTGTTCGTCTTCTGAACCCTGGAGAATGGCAGAGAGCATGGAAAGTGGACACGCTGGGAAGAAATGCTCCATCTCACATCAAAATTCAGGCAGGGCTTTCGATACTTCCTACAGGCAGGGCCCAATGTTGTATTGACAGCCATAGGCTGTGTCCACAGGGCTGTGTCCTCATGCTCCCTGTCCAGGGGCTCTAGAGCAGCGACGTGCCCTCTGATGGGCCCGGGTCTTTCTTGCTGCTGTCAGTGCAGGGAGAATTCATTTCGTTTCCTCTGCACATCGCCGTCTTTCCTCCGGTACCCAATGAGGTGCACGCTCTGGCCACAATACTCCAGTGCTTGGAGGCCTTTGTCACTTCTGAGTTTGTGACTGTGACAGAGGGCCCCAGCAGGCTGGCTTCCAGGTAAACAGGGTGTCGCATGACCGGATTTGGATAGTCTCCCAGTCACAGTCCGATCACTTCAGCGAGTACAGGTATTTGTTGGGGGAAAAAAGTTGCCTCGAAAGCATATTTCCAAGTTTTACTCTTCCTTATTAATTTTCATTACAAACTTGCAAATGTGTTTCTAGGGAGCATGTTTGCCCTAAGACGTAATAAAATCACACTGCAGAGTGCAGCAGACCTTAGAAAAGCGCATATTCGGGGAGATTCTCATTTTACTGCGCACTTCCGTGCTCACCTAGCATGCCTGAGTCGGAGCCACCCGGGCGCTTGGTTTGCCCCACTGTTCTGTTGGGCCCCGCCTGCCCCTGTCCTGAGATGGCGCACCCAGAAACTGCAGCCACCCCCAGGCTCTTTGACAGTTGTTTAGCTTTGTACCCCAGCTTCAGGAAGGTTGCTGGTCTCCCTGGATGAGAAGACACCCCAGTATAGCAGGGAGGAGAGAACAGAGGTCACAGCTCAGGGGGAGGACCTGGCAGGATGGTCTGCTGTGTGAGAGCATTCCAGAAAATCCAGCAGGGACAGCCAGGGAGTGGCCATTAGAGATACTTCCACTGTTTCCATAATGTGTGCATCTTACTCAAACAAGTCTGATGCAAATATCGGGACTTCAAAGCAAGATATGGCTATGTGCGTTATAGAAGGATGGTTTTACTTTATAAAATTCCCATTTGCTTTTCTGTAAAGAGTACATTTAATATATGACATGTGCCCAAAATTTGTATAAGCAACTTTGGTGCTGCTGTTTTAAGCCAGGTATCCCTGAATGAGTGATTTCATTATCTGAATGAGGCAGATCTGCTTATCAGCTTTCACCCTCTTTATTCATTTTTCCTTTGTACATGCTTAGTAGGAAAAAGTAGGTGTCCATCACACTTTGGGGGCTCCAGATTTGACCCTCAGATCTTCCCCTTAAAGCCTCTTCTGGGGCTCTTTATCCCCCTTTCAAAGCTTGTTCTGATTCCGTGTGACAAGCCTGGGACATGAGCATTGCAGGGCATCTCGCTTCGGACAGAGGGGCCAGGTTGAGGCCTGTGTGCAGCCAAAGCCCAGGAAAGACCTGCATCTCCCACTTCCGTCCTGCTCTGCTGCTGGGTCTGCTAAGAGCACAGCCACCTTCCTGCCCACAATCTCACTGCTTCCTTCTCTCCCCAGTGAGAAAGTGGCGCGTGAAAAGTGCCCTTGGAGCCTTGGGCCAATGGCAGATTGAGGTGGGAGAGCCAGCACCCCCAGGAGCAGGGAGCCTGGGGCCTGAACTCATCAAGGAGAGCAGTGCCAATGTACGTCTCTGTCCTGATACATCTGTATGACTCTGGCTGAAGGCGGGAGTGGGCTGATTGTGGGCAGGGTCTCTTGAGTGAGCCCCCCTCGACACAGAGTCCTAGGGAAGTGTTTATCTGAGTAAATATGAAGGGCCTGGAATGTCCCCACCAGGGCAGGCCTTAGAGGGGTGCTGTGGATACAAGCCATCTTTCCATGTGCCCAGAGTAGAGCTCTGTGGGCCCTCCCATCCCCCACCCAGTCACCCACTTCCCAAGAGCAGTCCTGGAGCTGGATTTGCCTCCTGCAGCCCATCTTCATGCGCAAGGATACCAAGATGAACTTCCAGTGGCGGATTCGCAACCTGCCCTACCCGAAAGATGTCTATAGTATATGTGTTGACCAGAAGGAGCGCTGCATTGTCGTCAGAACCACCAACAAAAAGTAAGCTACATGTGTGGGGCGGATGGGTGCAGGAGCGAGTGTCTGGCCTGTGCCAGGGAGGCTGCCAGGAAGCACGGAGGGGATTGAATAATGTCACCAGCTCCAGCAGGCTAGGGGAACTGGCAGGGCAAGTGTCTGTCAGACCTGCCCGTACGGGGGTGAGCCAGAGTTTGTTGAGTGAACTAGGAAATCATCTGGCTCCTTGTTGGGCTTTTTGATGGTTCTGCATAAGGTCATTGTGACCCTGGTCTGCTGGTTGATTGAGTCCCCAGTGAACCATTGTTGTCACTGAGTACTGTCAGGTAGCAGGCTTGGAAGCGCTCATCTCTGAGGTGGCAACTTGGGACCTTTAGAGCAGTGACCTGGGCTCAGGGGCAGAGGCCTTGGAAGGCTCCTGCACAGTTTCAGAATGGGGTCTCGGCTGCCCTTTGCTCCTCTCTGGTGTGCTATGGAGGAGTTAAACTATTAAACTAAGTTAAACTAGTTAAACTAAGGAGGGGATGGGACAGAGGTGGCTTTGGCAGAGAAGTGACCCTGGCAGGGATGCTCCCGAGTGGACCTCACATTTGGGCTTTGGGGCACTAGTTGACTGTGTAAGAGCAGAGCCCTGGGCTGGAGAAATCCAGTGTGGGACCAACCCTCACGAAATGGATTTGGGGCGCTGAGGTGGGAGATTGAGGAGTTACAAGCCGTGCATTCACCCAGCGTGCCTTCTGGACCTTAGCCTGGAGGTGCTCAGCACCGTCAGGTTCCCATGCAGTCAGGGGAGGCCCAGCTCTTGTGACATGGTGCCAGCCTCCCCTCCAAGGTCCCCTAGGTCCACAGGACAGCAGTGTGGTTCCCTGGTTCCCTCAGTGTAGCCCAGGTCCCTCCCTCCTCTGAGGACCCCTCACCCCCTCTCTCTTTGGCAGGGTTAAAGGGATGGGGAAGGGGTGGAGATGAATGAATTAATTTCAGGCTTATTGCTGTACATGCAGCCACAGCCCCTGCAGTGGGTCTTGTCTATAAATATAAAGTCATAATAATAAGGGTTTGCGTTTATAAAGCACTTTGAAGCCCTCAGATAAAAGGCAGTTTATTTCCGTTATTGTTCTCATCATTAACAGGAGTCAGTGCCTAAAGTGGAATTTAGCAATTTCAGACAACAAAGAGATTGCCTTTAGGAGAACAAACTCCATGCTTCAGCAAGCATTCCCCCGCGTCCAAGGCCCTGGGTCCAAACTGGGAACAAAAGTGCTTCTGATAGCACTTGAATCTGCAGCCCAGCAGTTTGTGGAGCTGGCTGCGGCCTCCCTTTTGTCCCCCAGAGGTCACTGTCGAATACAGATATCAGACAGAAATGTGATTACTGGGGAGGGAGAGGAGAGGCGAGCTAGCTCACCAAAAATTTCATCTGCAGGCAGATCCTGGGGGGCCCATCTCCTGCCTGGATTTGGCCATAGGTGGCGCTGTTGGCCAGGAGCTTTGAGGCTCCTCCGCCCCTCCAGCATCACACACTCCTAAGACGTTTTTGAACTGATGAATGAGGCCAGGTAGGGTGGGGGGAATGGGATTCAGCCTGGCTCTGTCCGGTCTTCCTCAGCTCCCTCTGCTGGGAGGAAGGTGCGCCAAGCCAGGAAACCCTTAACCAGCTCTTCCCTGCACCTAGTAATTTTACTACTTTGGGGGGGGGCGGGGAAGGGGACCAGCCCAGATCAGCCGCATGCAGCTGTGCACTTAACCCTGGTGCTGTCTCTGTCCCCTGCCCTGTTGTTCGGCGTCTCTCCCTGGAGTGCCAGTCTCTTCTCTTCCTTTAAACCACTAAATCCACAGAATGTCACGGCTGTTCCTTTGAACAGTGTTGAACATTCTCAGGCTCTTTACAGTCTGCATTGTGATCATCCCATTAGCTGAAGGGAGACAAGGCCCGCTTTGCTCCGCATAGTGTGGTGGTGGTTCGGTAAGATCGGGGGCAGCATGTGAGCAGACTTGCAGAAGGCTAGTGCAGCCTCCCTGCCCATCATCTGTGGCTCCTGCTGTTTCTCTAACTCGACTTCTTCCTTCTCTCAGACCTTCCAGTTGGACCCTGGTTCTAATATTCTGGAATGTAGTGACTAATAAAAGGACTTTTTTCCCCCTTTTAATCCATGGAGGTACCTGGCCTTGTGCCTGAAGAATAGGGTTGGCCACTTCTTGATGGAGTTGACTGCAGGGTATCAAGTCCTGGAATTCTTGAGGGATGACATGGGAAAGAAGGAAGGTGCTTTCCAGGATCCCAGGGTGGCACCTGCTGGTCCCAGTGTGTTTGTGCAGGAAGATAGTTCCTGGGGTGACCCAGGTGCCGGAGTGAGAAGACTTCTTAGATCTGCCCCCTGCCCCTTGTGAGGCATGCTTTTCTGGGCCCAGTTCCTTCATCTGCCCTCTCACCGACTGGGGAATTTGACTGCCACAGCAGTGGCAGTCTTAGAGTGGTCCCCGAGGATCTCTGGCTGACCTGCATAGCATCCCCTGGAGGTCTCGGGGGCAGGGCACATGTGACTGTCCTCAACTGCCCTTCAGTCTTTTCCAGGCTCTCCCAAGGCAGGTCTCTTGAGCCTGTCCCAGCTCCCTTTCATTGTGGCACAGGGTGGAGAGAAAGGGACAAAGGTGACCTGTTTCAGAGTGCACTGACCTGGGTTTGATCTTTGGCACCCTCTGTGGTCCCCCAAGGCCGCCAAGAGTGATCCCTGAGTGCAGAGCCAGAAATAAGCTGTGAGCACCACTGGGTGTGGTCCCAAACCACACAAACAAAACCCAATGGTGGCCTTTTCTAGTGGCTTGGCAGTCACTCACCTCCCACTCCTGTTTCCATGGAAGTTCTTTGCTACACTTTCACATTCCAAAAGGAAGACCACCAGGTGACCTGCAAGGTGGCTGGATGCGGAAACATCCCTGTCTGCCCATCCTGGGCCAGATGCAGGGAAGGAAACCTGATAGGTGGTGAGAGGGGTCAGCTGTGGGGAATTAGTTGTAATAGGGCATCTTCGTGTGCGTGTGGGGGAGATACCAAACCTTTCCGAGGCCTTAGTTTCCACCTCAGTGAGAGAGGATAATGGAAATAGCCACCGCAGAGGGTGGCTGGGAGAGTTCAGTGAATAAGGGCACCAGGCCTGGAATGAGCATTAATGTCGCCTTCCCAGGCCAGAGCAGTAGCACAGTAGCACAGCGGGTAGGGCGTTCGCCTTGCATGTAATCGACCCAGGTTTGAGCCCCGGCATCCCATATGGTCTCCCAAGTACTGCCAGGAGTAAACTCCTGAGTATCACCAGGTGTGACCCCAAAAGCCAAAAAAGAAAAAGTCGCCTTTCACTCGCTGGCTGGAAGAGAGAAGGTGGGCAGGAATGGGGGTGTGGCACAGCTGTGGGAGGCCTGGGGGTTCCCACTCTGAGGAGTCACTTGGCGCTGTAGCAGGGCCTCCTCAAGCGGGGTACAGTCTCCAGCGGGGCCTCCTGACCAGGAGGGTTAGGGCTACTGGGCCACACACCCAGGGTTATACTCTTCTGGTCTAGGGACTGGTGACAAAGTCAGAGGCAGTTCCTCTCGGGGCAAACCCCATGCTAGGAAATAAAGTCGGGGATGGGCTGTTTCCTGTGGTCCACCGCCGAGGCCCAGAGTCTCTGGAGATTATCTACACCCATTAGAAGGGACTCAAAACAAAGCTGAGCCCCCAACCTGACTGCTGCCCCCACCGCACCCCCCAGCCTGGGGAAAGGTGGTGGGCCTCAGGGGGCCTAGCCATACACCTCATTTGCCTTTGATCTGTTCTTGCTACTGAGCCCAGCCCTGGGATTATAGTCCCACTGCTCTGGTTTGGGGAATGTGGCTTGTTGGTGGCCCTCTGAGGGTGCCTCCCCCTTACTGAGCACATATATACACACACACTCTCTCTCTTTCTCTTACACACACACACACACACACACACACACACACACCCAAGGCCCAGCACTCAAGCTCAGTGGTCAGAGCAGCTGTCCTCATGCTCACACCAGGCTTTTCACAGGCTCATCCTTGTCAATTGGCCATGTGCCTCGCTGCACTCTGCCTCTTCGGTCCGCTTCTTGTCTTTGCAGGGAAGATTGTTAACATTTCGGAACAAGCCTTTGTGTTCATCTAATCTCTACTGTTTAACCTTTGACTTCCCCCTATTATCAGTGTCTGCCACCTTTGCTGGCCAGACCAAGGGCCCCAGGAAGAGCCCTCAGCCTGTGCCGGCTAGGAGAGGATGCAGGGCATTCCACCACGCTTGCCGGCAGAGATGGCCACCCCCTTTTCCCCGGGGCAGAGCTTTGGAAAAGAAAGCAACCTTGCCATGCCATTAGGATTCCCCTGCCCCCACTCCTTTTGAACTGTCAGCCTTTAAGTAAACATTCTTCTCCTGCCCTGGGTCCCAGCACCTTGACTTGGCGGGAGAGGGACCTGCAGGAGAGGCTCCCGCAACGGAGGGATTTGGCGATTTGGCGGGGGGGGGGGGGCAGTGGGCAGAAGAGCTGCACTGATGTCGACCCCGTGAGACCTCGGGGCATTAGGACTTTTGAAGTGGACTTGGGGCAGTTGTCAGGACCAGGCCCCTCTGAAGTATTAAAAGCCCCCAAGCTCTCCCGGCCTCTCCCTCTCCCTCAAGTGCCACAGCTGCCAGCAGGACTTTTATCTTTAGTCCTCAGCTCTGCAGCAGGACCCCTGTGCCAGAGAGACCACCACCTTCCGCAAGGAAAATGCCAAATGAGCTTTTTGTTAGAGGTGAAGAGGCCCTTCTCTGTGCGTGGGCATAATGAGCCCAACCCAGGAGCAAGAAACTTGAATCCCGACTCCACTGACAACTGGCTGTGACATCAGGCAAGGCCGTTCACCTCTGTGAGTCCGAGTTTCCTCTCCATCAAAGGGGTCAAATTTCCTGCCAAACAAAGTCCAGTTACACACAATGTGAGCTGACTGTTGCTCTCTGGGCTCTATTTTGGCTTTGTTGTTTTGCTTTTGTTACTAAAAGGGATCATTAGTCTCTGGACTGGCACCTGCAGATGAGAGGGACCCTGTGTATGGAGTGTAGAGAGGTAGGAGTGAGGGCCCAGGCCAGCATTAGTCCAGAGCTGCAGAGAACCAATGTCTGGTGCTTTGTCCTTGCAGGGAAACTTCTCTATACAAATGTGCTTTTCTCTCTGGTTTACACATAGACAAGGCCTTAAAAGACCCTTGAAGAGGAAAAAGTAACTGAGCCCTGAGTGTAAGTCCCAGGTAAAGGGCAACTGTAGGTTTAGGTTTTAGGAGACAGCCTTATTCTGACCCTTGTTGGCATGTATCTTCCAATTTCTCAGGGTGCAAAGATGGCCCAGTTTGCCCGAGCTACCTTGTATATTCCGGGAAGCTTCCTCACACAGACGTGTCTTCAGGAGACCTGGAAGTGCAGGAAGCGCTAACCTGAGCTAATCAGGAATTCTGATAGTCCTGTTCTTGGACTGCCAGGATGGTCTTTCCCCTGTTCTTTCCAGGGCCACCAGACTCTCGAGTCTCCCTATCTCCTCCCATCTCCTTCCCTGGTGTGTGGAAGATATGGCAGAGGGCCTGCTGCCTGACTTTTGGGACCACCTGTTCAGTGTCCCCATGGCCTCTTGGTGTCCCCATAGGTACTACAAGAAGTTCTCCATTCCTGACCTAGACAGATACCAGCTACCCCTGGATGATTCTTCGCTAAGCTTTGCATATGCCAACTGCACCTTGATCATCTCCGTAAGAGTCACCCTGACTTACTGCTGGCAGTGTCAGGGAGAGGCATCCTCTTCCCTGATCCCAGCTCCATCCATCCCTGAGGCCTGAGTGCTTGCTGGAAACTGGCATCTCACTCAGCATCGGGTGGGAGGTGTTTATGAATCAGGGTGGTGGGGAGAGGTGCAAATCACAGCATGGGATTCTCGTCTAAGGCCTACCTCTACCCACCCTGCCATAGGCAAGTCATCCATCCCAACAGGCCCCATTTTCAAAAAAATGGAAGGGTGACGGAGAAGAGGACTAATTAGGTCTTTTCTCCATCCACAGTACCAAAAGCCCAAGGAGGTCCTACTGGCAGAGTCTGAGCTGCAGAAGGAGCTGAAGAAAGTCAAGACGGCCCACAGTGGTGATGGGGACTGCAAGACCCAGTAGGGGGGAGCCATGAGCCTGCGCCCTCTGTGTGGAGGGTGGGTGAGACGCTGCTTCTCTCCTGAGAGACTGTGAGGCCTGGGCCTTTCTCACACTGGGGCCAGCAGTTCTTCTACTGAGGCTTGGTAAGAACAAGGCTGGGGCTATCAGTGTCCCTCCCCCAAGTAAACGCATCCTCTGTCACATGTAAACTGGCTTCCTCCTCTTTTTCCTTGTTTTTTTTTGGGGGGGGGGGCGGGGGAGGCAGGGCGGGGGGGCAAAGGGTGTCAGCCACGCTTGACTGCTCAGGAATCACTCCTGGGGGGCCATATGGGGTACCAGGGATTGAACTTAGTCCGCTGAGTACGAGCCTTACTATACTTTCCCTCTGTCCACTTCTCTATGTGCCAGTTCCCAGGGAGGGTGCCACATGACAATCCCTCTTGCTCCCCTGGGGCTCCTCAATCTAAACCCTTTCTCATTAAAGGGGGCGTGTGGGGTGGGGGCTTAAGGTGGAGACTGAAAGGCTGGAAGGGGCCCTGTGCCACTGCCCTTAGCTTGCAGAAGTGGCCCAGAGGAGTAAGACAAGTGTGGATGTAGTAGCCAAAAACACACTTCCTAGAATCTTGAGCAACAAAGCCCATAAAATTAAGACACTGTGGCTGAGAAGGCAGAAAGCATAGAGGGGAGTCACGGCAGGTAGATAGCAGCTGTTCCCTGGAGATAGCTTAAACCCTCCATGGCCCCCTCCCCGCCCCTTGAGGCTTTCCTGCAGGAGAGAGGCCTTGGTGCGGGACACGAGCCAGGAGGCCCCTTGTGCCCTTGTCCCAACATCTACACTCCCAGTTTGAATCTCCTGTCCCCACTCCCTGGGGACTCCCAGAGCTTTCCAGCCAGTGAGGAACCAGGTCTGTGAACAATCAAGCTTTACTTTTACAAAACTGAATGATGTAGCAGTCCTGATAGCAATCCTGAGACTGGGCTGGCTTAGAACTTTGTCCTTTCTTGGTTTCCAGTAGAGACCAGCCCACAGCACCCCAGCCCCGAAAGCTTGGTTGGCAGGGGTGGTGATGTGGGGTGGGGGGTGTCTGACTGAGGAGGTGGGGCTCACCCTTCCTCCCAGGGAAGGGACAGAGAGGGACCAGCTGGGAGGGCTGGAGCCCCCTCGGCACTCTCGAGAGCTGTGGTTCACAGAGGGGCGGGCAGGCCAGATCCTTCTCCAGCCCAGTCAGTGCCTTTTCTCCGGCTGGTTCCTGGGAGGGGCTGGTCTCCAGGTGCCCTCCCCCATCCTAGGTCGGCAGCCTTTGGCCTAAGGTGCCCGAGCCGTGTGGTCACAGTTAAGAGCGCAGGCACAGGGGGTGGGTGGGGCATCACTGCACCCTCCAGGAGGAGAGTCCCTGAGTAGCTACTTTGCTGCCCACAGGCGGGGTGGGCCTGCCCGTCACGGGCTTTGAAAGTCCAGCAGGTGGAGGTTGTAGGACAGCGCGGCATAGAGGTGCTTGGTGGTGAGGCGCAGGCAGTACACAGGGCTGCTGAGGGGCGTCGATGTCAGCGGGAAGGCCTGTGGGGATGACAGAACAGAGAAGGTCCTCAGTGGGAGCCGGGAGGGTAAACCCAGGAGTCCTGTGCCGGGGCATGTGGCACAGCATATGTCCTGGCCCACTCCGGGCGCCCTCCCAGCTGCGCTTACATGCAGGCAGGCCCTCTGGCGCCGGTCCCACAGGCGCACCACGCCGTAGTAGGAGGAGCCGGTGGCCAGCAGGTGGTTGCCGTCCGTCTGCAGGCAGTACAGGGTGCTGTCGTGAGGCTCCTCCCACTCCATGACACACTTCCTGTGCAGGGGGAGATGTGTGGGCAGCGTTAGAGGGGCCACCCGCCTTGACCCCAGCTTCCTCTGGGAGAGAAACATTGCGTCGCCAAATCAAAAACCACACTTGCGGGGCTGGAGAGATAGCACAGCAGGTAGGGCGTTTGCCTTGCACACGGCCAACCCGGGTTCGATTCCCAGCATCCCATATGGTCCCCTGAGCACTGTCAGGGGTAACTCCTGAGTGCAGAGCCAGGAGTAACCCCTGTGCATCGCCGGGTGTGACCCAAAAAGAGAAGAAAAAACAAAAAAAACCCACACTTGGACCGGGGAGATGGCTCGAAGGGCTGAGCTATGTTTGCATTCAAGCCCTGGCCTGGTACCCAGTGCTCCTAACCAGACGTAGGCCCAAACACCACAGGTGAGGTCCAAACCCCCAGAATGCACAGTGAACCCCAGGCAGCCTTCCCTGGGAACAAAGGCCCATGGCGGGGGGGGGGGGGGGGGGGGGGCTCGGGGCCAGCACAGGCCCTGCCTGGGGGCGGCCAAGTGTGCCTCGTGTGGAGGCTGTGCCCTGGCAGCTGCCCGGCTCTGAGAAATTCCTGCCCTCTGCAAGCCATGGCTACAGCATTCCTGCCACAAGGCAGGAAAGCGTCAGCTCGAGCTGACAAGCCCCTGACGTGGAGCCCGTCTGCTCTCCACTGTGGAGTGCAGGGTCCCTCCGCCTGCCCCTCTGCCCAGCACACTCACCGGACACTAGCGCGCAGGTCCCAGTAGCGGATGTAGGTATCGTAGCCACAGGACAGCAGCGTGAAAGGGGATTCATACATGACATCCAGCACCCCTGCGCCAGGGGGGAAGTCACTGCCCAGGTGTGTCAGCAGCTGCCCACTGCGGAGAGGGCACAGAGGTTGAGCAGCTGTCTCACCAGGACCCCCCACCCCACCCCCCACATCCTTTACCCATCACAGGGCACCAGTCCCCAGGCAAAGGCAGGTCTCCAGGCCAGAATCGGACTCCCTGAGGAAGGAGGCCGCAGGAGACTCCGCACTGCCCCCCTCCCCAGCCTGTCACACCTGCGTGCTGGCCGCTGCGGCCCGCCACCCCTTCTCAGGAGGATGAATGGGCCTTGCTCTGGGGTCGTCGTCCCCCCACCCCCACATTTGGTTACTTTATACGCCTTGATCCTGCAGGTCATGCAGTTCTGAGCTGCCCGAGTCCAATGCCTTAATTCCCGCCTGTAATCTGGGGCTCAAACCTCACTGGGGATAAAGACCACACAAAGGGAAAAGGGGAGTCCCAGGAAATGTTAAAACAAGTAAACACCTTTGTGTCTGGGGAGAGAAATTGCTGAGAAAGCAGCTTAGCAGGCTGGTCCCTGGTGTTCCCGGGCCTCTGGCCCCCGGCCCGGGCTAGCATGCCTCTGTGATCACAGCCCCCAGCCTGCTGCGCTCCAGCCTGCTCCCCCCACCCTCGCCCTGCACGGTGGCCGAGAGATTACTGAGAAGAACAATTTCTTTGTGACTGTGTAATTCCCTCCGTGACCGCGGCAGTGGGCAGACCCCTTGCCCTGATACCAGACCCCTAGCAACCACCTAGGGGGGCCTCCTGGCCCTAGCAACTACCCCTCAACATCAAGTGCACTTGCTAATCCCTGTCGCTGGGGAGAAGCAGTGCGTTTCTCCAGAGTGATTGGGGGGATGAAGCAGAAGTGGGGCGCCCTCCAGCACTGAACCTTGGCTCCACCAGGTGCCGTGAGGCTTCTTCCTGGCCTGGGCCTATGGCAGGGGGCTCGTGTCAGCCCGGGTAATGTTCCTCTAGAGCTTGAGACCAACAAGGCCACGTGGGATAGCCTTCCTCTCACACCTCCTCCCTGGGGGCATACTAGAGGCTGTGGGACCCTTTCTGCAACCCTTCCCCTGAGTCCTGAGCAGTGTGGGAGCAGGAAGCACCCAAGACTTCCTCCCGAGAAATGCTCGGCCTGTCTTAGCCTCTGTGTTTTGTTTGTCTGGGAGCCACACTGGGTGGTGCTCAGGGGCCATTCCTGGCTCTGTGCTCAGGGATCACTCACTCCTGGAGGCGCTTGGGAAATCAAGTGTGGTTCCTGGGGATCTGAACTGGGGTCAGCCACATGCAAGGCAAGCGCCTTACCTCCCTGTTCTCTCTCTCCAGCTCCCAAAGATAAGCCTCTGTTGGGGAGCCTGAAGAGGGGTCAGCATCTCCAGGCACCACCCTTGGCTCGCAGGCTGAACCCCGGGGGCTGGTCTCGCCCACCAACACGCACGCCCCACTGGGAAGGGGTTCTTTTACTCCCACTCTCCTTCCAGATTTGGGGGCCCTGCCCCCTCCATTAGCGAGACCTTCAGGAATGACTGAGGAGCTCTCCCCTTTAATCTGTAGGAGTAATTTCATGTTTGTCTGTCTGAAATAGAAGATGAAAGGCAGTGGGGCTGGGGGCGTGAAGGCCAGCACGGCTCTGCCTGCCACTGCTGGTCCAGGCTGGAGATGGGAGGAGGGCCGAGCACCAGGGGACTCCACAGGGATGGCCCTGCCATCTGGAAAGTGCTCAGACCTTATCCTTATGTGATAAGCAACATTCCTGGGGCCAAAGATAGTAGAGTGGGTAGTGCGTTTGCCTTGCATGAGGCCAACCCGGGTCTGACCTCCAGCACCCCAGGTGGTCGCCCATCCCCCCCGCCCCTAGCCTGCCATGCGTGATCTCTGAGCACAGAACCAAGTGAGAGCCCTGAGCATCACCAGGTATGGCCCAAAAACAGACAAAAGAAATACAGAATCCTCCCATCTGGGGGAGGCGCCAAGGACCCAAGCCGGCACTGCCGCCTGGGAGACAGGACTAGAGCTGACCTGGGGCGCAGAGTTGCTCTTCCTACTGTTCTCAGATTCTCCTAAAAGGCCACACACACTTTAAATGAGCCCATAAAAGATACAATTTCTTTAGCCTCAGAGGCTGGACTGAGGCTCTGTTGTGGGAGCCGCAAGGTTAAGTTCAGAGCATAAACGGACACACCCGGCTCTGGGAAACAGCCTGGCTCTGCCAATAGGGCCCCGCAGTGCCAGAGGAGCCCTGCTGGGGCTTTGAGCTGGGAAAACAAACAGAAATGGCACCCTGGGCCCTTGGTGGCCCCCACTCCAGGACCAATTTAACTAGGAAAGTCCAGCTCCACTGCTCTGATGGAGGGAGAGAGAGTCTCCCACAATAGCCCCAAACTTTGGGGGGAGGGAGCACAAAACCAGCTGTTGCCCTGCTCGGCCCCTCCTCCTGGGCTCCTTTTCTTATTGCAAGTGTGTTCTTGCAAAAACGATTAGATTGCAATTTGTATAACGTGGTGACCCCCAAATTCAGACATTTCACCCCTTTTCTCTAGAAAGAATGTCAAGAATGCCTCTCGGCCTCGCACTGTGGGGGGCAGGAGGGGGGTGCACAGCCTTGGCTGTCGCACAACTTGTGTGGGAATAGGGTTGTGGCTCGGAGCCCCAGGCCAAGACAGAGCAAGGGCCGGGCCTGTCACTATAGAGCCAGACAAAAAGTCCCTCTTCCCTTGGAGCTCCTGTGCACAAAGCCGGGCGGGCACACACCGCAGCCTGCCCAGAGCCTGACTCCAGCAATTCTCTCTCGACCCAGGGAAAGATAAAGACAAATGGGGCCGCCCTGTGGGCCTGATGAATGAGACCTCAGCTGGGAAGGGCTGCTCCCGAGGCCCGTGGAAGCCCCCCGTTACCTCGGCAGGGAAAGTTAGCAGAGGGGTGACCCGAGGAGCCTCCCAGACAGGGTCAGGTGAGGGAGTCGGATGTGCCCTGGCTCAAACCACTGTGCTGTCCAGAAAGTCAGAGGCTCTCCCTGAGAGGCTGCGGGCAGATTCAAGAAGACACTGTGTGCTCACCTGAACACCCCACGTTCCAGCTCTCTGAGGTCAGTGCTGACCCTGAGTGCCAGGCTAGAGTCGGGCAAAGGGGCAAGTTAGGCCCAGCAGAATTAGGGAGCCTGGGACCCTGACCCTCACTCCCTGTCCCTGTGTTGTGGCCCCCATTCTCCACCTCTTGTTAACATGCTGGGTTCTGGCTTCCCTGGATACCCTCCAGGTGCTCATTTTGCATCTGTTTAGAGTCAGACTACCCTATCTCGCCAGTAGACACCCCAAAATACAACAGTGGTGCTGCTAAGCAGTTCACTTTCTGTCTTGCTCCCAGAAGCCACAGGTGCTGAGGTATACACGCTGGGTCCAACTCAGGAATGGGAGTCTCTTCCTCCCTCCCTGTCTCTGAAGAACATTAATTTGTTGAGTACCTACTGTCTGTATACAAGACAACTGTACTTAATAAAATCCTTCAAGGATGGGGGAGGTGTGAGAGAGGGCAGTACCTGGCACTGCTCAGGGATCACTCCTGGTGGGACTCGGGGGACTGTATGTGGTGCCAGGGTGGAATCCTGGTTGGCTGTCTGCAAGACAAGTGCCCTACCCACTGTACTATCACTCCAGGCCCCTCGAGATTTTTAACCTAGTAAAGAATTTTCATGCACACAACTCCAGATGAGGTGTGGCTTGGTGGTCAGCTGGAAAGGAGAAATTGTATGCAGATAAGGCAGTGTTTCAGTAAGGGGGGGGGGGGGTGGTAGGGAGCAGCAGTACAGGTCAACAGAACTAAGGAGCAGAGCTGTCTGGATCTGGTTGGGCTGGAGCCTGCATCCACGAGGAGAGCCGAGGTGGGGTGTGCTGGCTCGCACGGAGCTCAGCCACCATGAACTACGAGGTGGCAAAGAACTGTGAGAGCGTCCCAGTGCAGCCGGCCAGACGGGAGAGCCAGGGAGAGCGCGAGTCAGGAGGAGCTGGGTCCTGAGGCGAAGCCCACGGAAGGTGAGAGGGAAGGCCCTGGCGGGGCACACGGCCCTCACGTGCATGTGCGAGCGCGCATAGCCCAGCGCCCACCCGCGCACACGTGTTCAGACACAATGGCTCAAAGGCCAGGCAGCCCCGCAGCCCACTTTGTACTGCTAACAAGGGGACCGTAATTACAGGAAGGGGCAGCCGGGCAGATAAAAGGATACAAAATTTCAACATCTGTTGCCATAAAGGGATAAGAAGAAGTGAAACGCAAAGTATCAGTTTGGTGTCAGCAGGCAGAGAGCCAATTTCAAAGAGTTCAGGGGGACAGAGGGGACAAGAAATAAAAAGGAAAAGGAGGGGGAAGAAAGAGAGAAAGAAATTACAGGGTTCCTTAAAGAGGTAAAGAAAAAGGAAAATGAAAAAAGCTGTCAGTAATACTTTCAAAGGAGAAGCAGGTACTTTAGAGGGGCGATTCCCATAATCACCCTGACTGAGGGCCAGGCCCCCTGTCCGGGGTGAAGGCGGAGGCCGGGGCAGAGACAAAGGCACACCTGGGCGGTCTGGGCACTCCTGCGGACCTGGGCTGAGGGGCCCTGATGAGGGGGCCTGAGTGTGGTTTGTGGACGTAGAGTGGGGCACCCAGACAGAGCACCTGTCGGACTGTGTGAGCCCGTCTGCCCTCACTGAGGGCACCGAGGGGCTTGGCCGGGGCAACCCAGACCCCTCCAGGCTTGGGCCTGCAGCCTCTCCTTTCTGATGTCCACCTGCCCACTGCCACCAACTCTAGATCCTGCTCATGTGGCACTCAACAGAACGAGAAAACCCCAGGCAAGAGCCAGTCCAGGGGGCGAGAGTGTGTGATGGCAGATCAGGCAGATGCCACGGTTCCCAGGGGGCCCAGCTCAGGACCTGCTCTGATGCAGATACAGAACCAGCTGGGCCTGACCTCCCCAGAGCAGCCTCAGGAGTGGGCATCTTTGGCTCGGAACCACTTGGGTCCGAGCTGGTGGCACTTTAGTGGTATGCTAGTACAACTGTCAAGTCAGGCGAGGCCTGGAGACGGGGCCGAAGACCATCTGCCCTGGGAAGCAGAAACTATACCTCCATCTCTCTCTGTCTGGTTAAGACAAGTTAGAAATGTCTCCCTGGGCCTAACCCACAGTACAGAGCTCAGGAGAGTGAAGGGAGAGGAGGAAGCACCATGGCTGAGGTGGGAGCGCCAAGCTCCTCACCATCTAGGCCAGTGGTTTGCAACGGCCAGTCAGCGGGTGTGAAGAGGAACAGGTTGACAACCACTGGAGTAGACAAGGTCTGTGCCGGCTTCTGACCTGTGTCGCAGCCAGCCCCTTCCCTTCCTCGCCCGGAGGGAGGACTGCACCTTGGTTCCGTCTTGACGGAGGCAGGTGATGCAGGAGCGGGGTGCTGGGCCTCGGGAGAAGCGGCTGAGGCTGCCCAAGGGTGAAGGAAGGGTGCCGATGCCTGGCAGAGCGTCCCAGCCCCCACCATGCTAAGTGAGGCTCGGCGCAAAACTGCCCCTCCAGTCCTCCTCCCCCCTCTCCCAAGTCATAGCACACACATAAAAGAGAAAATCCTGGCACTCCTCAAGTTTCAGCAGTGACAGATTAAAAGCCAAGAATCCATCCAGCACTGCACACCGCCCCGCTGCTGAGTCCTGCCGGCAGTGTTGCTCCACCTTCCAGATTGGCCTGTCAGTCAGGCTTTGGCATTATTGAAAGATCAAACTCTGTCCTGCCTGTTCATTACCTTAATCCTATTTTCTACATGGCTTTATTATCTGCTTGGGCTTCTCTGGGAAAGAGCTACAGATAGTTGTCCTGTCCGTCCGTCCCCTCCCACCAGGAGCAGACCCTCCGCAGGGCACCCTTCCCTTGTCTCCAAGTTCCCTCGAGGGCAGAAGAGACATTGTGACAAGAGAAGCAGAGGGGGCCGGGGAAGGTGAGGCCAAGTGATGCCAGGGGCAACCCTGCCACAAGGCTGGGCAGTGACAACTGAGGCCGTAGCTGTCTTGTGCCCATTCTCAGCAGGGTTCTGTAAAGAGCCAGTGTTTGGGGTAAGTGATGGAGGGCTTCCAGAAGCGAATGCTGCTCAAGGGACTGGTGTTGGAACTCCGTCCTGACCATAGCCCATGCCCGAGAACACCCCAGACGAGGCAAAGATGAATCCATCCCCCTCTGAGATGAAGCTGGGCCTCTGCGGTGCTCCCCCTGTCTACTATCCGGGGCCCAGGCAAGTGACAATGTCCAACTCCATGACTAAAAGTGATTTCCAGCAGTAACACCCATCTCTGTGACAAACCACAAGGCCAACAGGTTTCGTTCCCTCTTCTACAGGGCCCAGCGCTACATACAATTGAGAGACTGAAAGGCTGTGGGCCTCTCAAACGCCAAGGTACTCATGTGGAAGGTAACTGTCACTGGGGAAGAAGGGAATTTACACTGGCACCCAGATGACAGGCACCATGTGGGTACTTTTTCAAAACAACTTTTTTCCAGCCTAGCTCTATGAGGGATTAATTCACTCTCATCAACGTGAAAGTGAGGCCCAGAGAAACCCTCAGATCGTTGGGGAAAGAAGCAACAGTGGAAGTTCTGATCTGGGTCTGTTGAAGCCCAGGGCCTGGCGCTCTATGTAGCTCTTCACAGCCTCCCCGTGGCATATCAGAGGAGGTGCCCTCCTACCCCAGGCCCATTCAAAGGGAAGAAGTTGCCGGTGGCAGAGGTTTGGCCACTGAGCTGGAGGCAGCTCATCCAGACCACTGCTCCCAGGGAAAGAACAAAGGAGCCCTTGGAAGTCTAGTTCAGCGGGGGAAGAAGATGTGATGATTCTATGGGCTACATTAAAAAGCCTGGTGTACAGTAAGTGCGGTCAGAGCATTGCCATTCCTCAGCCCACACCTGGTCTGTTCAGTACTCCTTTTTTTTGGGGGCTTTTTTTTGGGTCACACCCGGCGATACACAGGGGTTACTCCTGGCTCTGCACTCAGGAGTTACTCCTGGCGGTGCTCAGGGGACCATATGGGATGCTGGGAATTGAACTCGGGTCGGCTGCATGCAAGGCAAATGCTCTACCAACTGTGCTATCTCTCCAGCCCCTGGTACTCCTTTCTGAACACTCCATTTAAGAAAGGATCAAACCTGATCATTAGAAACGTTTCCAGAAGGAAAAAGTGGTCCTGGAACCATTCTGAGACCAATACTGAAGGTCACCCATCTGAGTACTATCCCTTACCTTCTTTTTACCCATCATCCCCCAACGCTCATGGGTCATGGAGCCTGCGCCTTTCCCAGGTCTGGAAGGTAAATCTTATGTTTGTGTTTTGTGGCCACAGCCAGTGGTGCTTAGGAGCCATGTGGTGCTGGCCAATACTGTATCTCTGACCCCAGAATGTTAATCTTGACTGAGTTTTCCATTTACGTCACGAACTACTTCAGGATGAGTACTGGAAATTAATTTTTACTCACTGAGTAGGAGAAATCTAGGAAAGGCTTCTTCATCTTAAAAATATCCCAGTCAGGATATGGTCTCTTTCCTTTCTCTTCCTTTGGAATGTGCCTTATGAGTTGATAGAGCATTTGTAAGCAAGTCTGAGGGCAAGGGTAATCGTTACCCTGACGATAGTGGCAAAGCACAAAGCTGAGGAGAAGACAGGCCCTCATGATCTCACTGACCTTTCAATCCCAGACCAGTCAACCATCCACCTTTTGGACTCTTGCCACTGCAGACAGTAGCGACCCTTTTATTGTTTCAGCCAACTTGAATTGGGGGTCTACATTTTTTTATAGCCAGAAGTATGCTACTCTTTTCATGCACAACAATGGAAAGGTCTCAGACTTTCGGCCTGAGAAAGAGAAGAACCTGAAGAAGTGGACCACAATTTTCAGATGTTTAAGGGTCTGTCCTTCACAGGAGAGGATCAACTTGCTTTATGTCCAGGATCACGGACCCAAGAAGCAGATCAGCCCTCGATGAAAGGAAGCTTCGCAACTCTCAGAGTTAGCCACTGTGTTATTAGGGAACTAGATTAAGTTTCCTATATCTGTGGGTGAAGGACCATCAAGAGAACGTTGTGGAAAAAATCTGGAAAAATAGATGATATAATAGATTTTTCAGAAACGAAAACTTATGCCTAATACTTTCCTGGGGACATGGAGAGAAAGGAGAAGGCAAGTTAGAGCAACTGAGGCAGGAGAAAGGCAAAAGGAGCACTTCCTGCCTCTCCTGCGAATCATTGTACCAGACCCTGAGTGTGGGCACCTGGGGCTGAAGGCGTCCTTAGACTGATGCCAAAAGCAGAGTCAGTAACAGAGAAAGGGGACTTCGTAAATGGGACTTCGTTCAAGTAGAAAGCTCATGCTCTGTTTCAAAGGCTACGGATTGGGAGAAGACACATTCACGCACGACATGCCTGACAAAGGGCTGATCTGAGGACCATATGAAGAACCCTCAAAACACAATGGTGAGAAAGCACATAACCCAGTTAGAAAATGGGCAAATGACCGGAGCAAACATTTAATCAGAAAGAGGGGCGAGAAGGCCAGAGAGAGGGATGGGCTGACTTGGGCCTTGCCTGCGGGAGGCTGTGCATGGTCCCTCCCGCTGCAGGCTCCCTGCAGTGCCCTGAGCACTCCCAGTGCCACCTCACGCTCAGAGACACCAGGTCTGGCCCAGCTCCTCCACCCCACCAAAGAAAGGGCCCAGAGAAACAGCTTAATGAGCTGTACACATGCTCTGCATGGAAAAGACCCAGGTCAGAGCCCCAGCATCATGTTTGGTTCCCTGAACACCACCAGGAGTGACCCCCACACACAGAGCCCCTGTATAGCCCAATACAAAAAAAGAATATAAGATGGCAAATAACTACATAAAAACATATTTGATATATTAGCCATTAGGAAAATCAAAACCATAGTGAGATTTCATACTTACCGGAATAGCTAGAAAACCAGTCACAATACCAGACACTAATGGATGTGTGAAAAAAACAGGTGAATAATATGAATAATGTAATGAGGTAAATATGTGAAGAAACTAGGTGAATAACTAGGAAACTAGGTGAATAACTAGGATATGGTGAAGAAACCCATACTGGGCTTGAAATATAAAATGGTAAACAGCTATTAACACACTAAATGACCCAGCAATTGTACTCCTGGGCATTTAATTTTCAAAATTATTTTAGGAAACATGTCCGAGGGCAGACAGGGTTTGATATAGTCCCCCTAGTCAGGCGCTCCTGTAAGTTCAGATGCCACAAGTCTGACATGAAAAGTTTTAACTCTTAGAAATGATTTCCATGGTTCCCTCAACTAGCCTCAAAGGAGCCCGTGTGTGAAGGCTCCAGAGCAGGAGGTCCGGCATGTGGCGTGGCGTGGCGTGGCCAGGGTGCCCGTGGCCAGCTGAAACAGGAGCTGGCTCAGTGGCTCTCTCCTGGCCTCCCCAGAGACTCAAGCACCCTCCCACTGAAAGCCTTGGTGGGCTTCGGTGTCTCTTACCTGTTGAGGTCCCAGATTCTTAGGGGTGAGTAGTGCCCACAACAAGCTGTCCCAGTAACAAAAGAGCTGCAAAACAAAAGGGGAGAAGAATCAGGTCTGGCCTGTCAGAGCTTGTGGGGGAAATGGCTCGCAATTGGAAGTGCCATGCTAATGCTCCAGGGGATTGTGGGGTTAAGCCTGGATGAGCGAAGCGGCCAAGAGAGCCATCAGAGGAGTTTGGGAAAGCCGCTCGGAAGGAGGTGGGCGCTCGGACCCTGCCGCCCAGCGAACCCGCTGAGCCGGCTGCTCGGACTGTGCCATGTGGCCTCACCGCCAAAATGGGTCTCTAGGTGGGCAGCCCATAGGCGAGGGGAGAGCAAGCCCAGCGGGCTTCCTCTGTAAGAACACATTCGCAACGCCACGGCCCAGAGGAACAGGCTCCCAGAAAGGGCTGCTGAGTGCTGGAAGGTGCCACTGCGGGGAGGGGGTCATCTCGAAGTGTGTTAAGAGCTGGGGAATCTGGCAGTGTGGCACAAGCACAGGGCAGCTGCAAAGACTGCCAGGTGGGAAACGAAAAACTAAGAAAAGTAACAGTATGACAAGGTGACATAGGTGACAGGCCTGTTTGAGGTGGGGGATAGGGAATGCGGAGGCCAGGCAGCCGCTTCGGGGTGGGACTGAGTAAGGCAGACCTTAAGGGACAATGAGACACTGCACGAAGGCTGGGGGAAAAAATAACACTCTGAACACATTTTCCAGGCTGTCTCTTAAGCCCTAAAAATTTCAGCATATGCAATCCGCAGAGTTTCAGCTGAGGTGGAGGCACAAGCCCGTGTGCAGGGTCAGTGTACCGAGACCGGACAGCCACAGAACTAGGACTAGAACTTGAACCTCTGCACCAGACCATTCCTTTGTTAGAGGATTTGGCTGGGGTGGGAGGGAGGGAAGCCTGCAGGAACCCAGGATAACTGACAAGCCAGAGAGTTGAAAGCAATTGTGTCACTCAGGAGCCCTGGGGCAGGGAAGGGCCATGTCCCTACACGTCAGGTGTGGGGAATGGGGTGGGGATTTGGGGGAAGAGAGACTGGACATACTAATGATACGTTAGCAATGTGAGGGCAGCGGCTCATCCGCCCCAGCCCTGCCCAGCACCTGTGGCTCTCTGATCCCAAGTGTGTCAGCGGGGAGATGGATTTCCGCTGAGAGGTTCTAAAGAAGCCAGTGGCTTTAGCTGGAGGGGCTGGGGGTGGGGAGTTGGCCTGCCAACTGGTGGGGAGATGTCAGGGCAGGTATTGACCAAGCCTGACTTACAATCAAAATTAGGGACAGGTGTCTATTTCTCAACTCCAGGCAGGTAAACAGGCCACAGGAGTTACCTCAGGGCTTCTCTGCCCTAAGCTAAAACTCCTTCTAGGGATATACGACATCATCTGAGCTTTCTCTTGAGCCTGGGAATGTCAGCAGCCACTAAGCTAGAGTGGCGTGGCCGGAACAGTCACTTCATCAAGTCCCATGGGATTCCCAGCCTCGGAAGCAGCCCCTGGACACCAATGCCCCAAGCTACAACATCAAGGGATGTTGACCTCACTTCCCTCCCGACCCAACATTTTTCTCTCGAAGGTAATCCATTAATAACTGGTAAAGTCAATTACCTTGGGTAGGAAACGTAAGAGCCACTTGGAGATCATTCGAGCAGGCAATTGAACTCTCTAGACTCAAGGAGTGGGGCCCAGGTGAGGGGTGCTGTCACAGACTCACAGACAACTCTCAGGAGCCCATGGCTGGCCTCTGATTAAACTACTGTTAAGATAAATCAGTAGGGGCTGGAGCGATAGCACAGAGTGATAGCATTTGCCTTTCACATGGCCGACCCGAGTTCGATTCCCAGCATCCCATATGGTCCCCTGAGCACCGCAAGGGGTTAATTCCTGAGTGCAGAGCCAGGAGTGACCCCTGTGCATCGCCAGGTGTGACCCAAAAAGCAAAAAAAAAAAAAAAAAAAAAAAAAGAGGTCAGTTAATAGAAAGAAGGGAAGTCCCTGGAACCTAGATTTTTGCTGTTCTGCCCTCCCAGGATCAGGGCTGGGGATGCGAACACCTTCCTCTGGCACCAGCTCCCATTCCTACCAGCCCATCCTCGCCCTGTGCACATCCACATGCTGCTCGCTTGTCCAATTGAGGAAGGCCTTCCTTAATTGCCTGGGCATGACACCCATAAGTGTTTCTTTCCGAAAGCTGCCCTTTTCCCCCTTGTCTAGCAGGGAGGAAGAGGAGGAGGGAAAATAGTGTGCCCCCCCCCCCCCGACGTTTATGAAGACCGAAGAGTTTAATAAAATTTAAGTAAGCAAAAAGCAATTCAGAGTCAGGTCCTTACAGGGACATTCATCAAAATTCACATAGCCACGGGACCACCAGGACTCCTGGCTTAGTGCTGGCTACAAATACAGCCCTTCCATGCTTCTAACTGCTCCCCTACTTGCAGGCATACCTGCATGCTCCCCCTTCTCAAGGACTTTAAGAAACATGAAGCAAAAGCCACAGACTAGTCACATTCAGAATCAGATTGAAAAGGGTGTGCCCAGGTGCCGACCCGCCAGAGCACAGAACAGCAAAGGAGTATAGGGTAAAGAGGAACTCACTACTTTGGAACCGAAAGGATACCTCATATCCCACAATGAAACATGATATAATTTTTGCCTGTTTGGGAGTCATACAGTGTTGCTCAGGGCTTACTCCTGGTTCTGTGCTCAGGGATCACTCCTGGCAAGCTTGGGGGACTGTGTGGGGTATCAGGGATCGAACCCAGGTCAGGTACGTACAAGGCAAATGCCTTACCCACTGCACTACTGCTTCAGCCCATAAATATTCTCATTGCACAAAAAGGAAGTGTCAATCACACTTCTGTGAGTTTACTCAAAATGCTGCCACTCCATCAAATGCATACTCATACTCACTGTCAAGACTCAATAAGATCAAAAAAAGTGTGGTGGGATCTGTGTCTCTTCAATCTTTCTAAGGGGAAAGTGACGTGGGATCTGTGCATCTTCAATCTTTCTACTAATGCCCACAATTTAACCTCAACACATGCCCACCCACTGCACTTGCATCAGCCCTAACCTCTACACCCAGATATTCTCCACATCCCCCACTCCGCTGGGTCTCTGCTTAGTCAGCCACAGGTTCTCAACGACTACCTGGGAATTATCTACATAAGCATGTGTACCATTTCTTTGGTTCCTCCAAAGGGATTACTCAAAAATTTCCCGGTTAAAACGTCTTTTCTATAACCTTAAACCCCTAAGCCATCTCACAGTCTTAGCACAAGGTTAGAAATTACCAAAAAGGCCAGGTTTCCTAGAAAGGAAAAAAGATTCGGATGGCTTTTGCCCTCAGTTCTGCCTCTTCCCTTAGGGGATCCCAAGAACAGTGATGGCAAGTCTCTGAATGGGAAGAGGACAGAGCTAGTGATATTCCCAGTGGCTTGGGCCCCTTTCTGAGTTTCTACCACACTTTGATCTCACACTCATGAGACAAGTGGTATTCTGGGGGTTAATGTTCCATCTTGCCCTTGAGATCATGCACTGTCTGCCTGAGCACCACTTGATGTGACCCAAAAGCCAAACAAACAAAAAAAGAAGCTATCTTTCTGTAATTTCCATCTTGTTTCAGACCATGGCCAGATCACAGACCATGGCCCCAGCTTAGGTACACCAGGCTCCTCAGAGACCCTCGGGCCTAATAAGTAGGAATGCTCTCCTCAAATACTTGGGGGTTTGGGTAATTAAGCTACAGAATAGAAAATAAAGTGTAGAAAAAAGGAGGGGCTAATGGAAGTGAACTTAGGGCTCAGTGGGATTTTAAGCAATGGGAGTCCCTCTCCCAGATTCTGTCTTTGGGTGAACACTGGCACCATTCTGACATGATGCATTTGGGGTGTGGGGTGTGGTGTGTGTGTGTGTGTGTGTGTGAGTGTGTGTGTGTGTGTGTGTGTGTGTGTACACATGTGTGTGATTCTAGGCCTCTGCCAACTACAGTCATTCTACTATTTACTGGTCAGTGTTTAGTTGGGATAGTGCAGAGATAGTGCAGCAGATAAGGTGCTTGACTTGAATGCAGCAGACCTGAGTTCGATTCCCAGTATCATAAACGGTCCCCTTAGCTCTGCCAGAAGTGACCCAAGTGTAGAGCCAGGAGTAAGCCCAGAGCACCACCAGGTGTAGCTCTCAAACAAAACAAATGAAAGAGGAAAAAAAGGGCAGAAGGCAACTCAGCTGGGTATGGGCAGGAAGAAGTTACATTATTGCTGTCTTTGCTTTAGTCAGGCCCTCTTAGTTGTAGTAAACTGTGCACCTACCACGTACCAGGTCTCAGCAAGCTTTAAAAAGCATTATTCCAGGGCCAGGGGATATGGAATGGGTAGGGCACTTGCCTTCCATGCAGCCACCGGAGTTTGATATCTGGCACCACATACAGTACCAGGAGTGATAGCCAGGAATGATCTCTGAGCATCAGTAGATGTGGCCAAGGCGGGAAAAAAAGCATTATCCCAGCCAATCCTCATAACCTACGTAGTAAGTACCTCTTTCCCTTACAGATGGAAAAACTGAGGCACACAAAAGTAGTGTAACTTGCTTGAGCTTCCATAGGAAGCAAATTTGATAGGGCTAGAATCTGAACCCAGTCTATCTTGATTCCAGAGTCCAAGTTATTTTGCCGCTCCTTGCCCATACTTTCTCTTCCAAGCACCTAGTATAAAACCAGATACACAACAAAAACTTGATTGCCTGCTGAATGACTGAATAAACGAATAAATGACTCCACCTGGAAGAAGAAAGGACCAACTGCGTGTCCTGCAGAGGGGCAGCAGAGTGGCGTGCTCGGCAGCTGTGCCCGTGGCTGGCTGGGAGCCGCCCAGCTGGCCAGGCCCCGGCCGCCTCTGAGCTGGGGCTGACACACTTTGACGAGGGAGGCCACCAGAGCTGTCACATCATTCACCAACATGCCCATCAAGTGTATTCAGTTCTCTCCAACCCGCATTGGCATTTTAATTACTGTTGGGTAAACTAATTTGTACAAATGAAGGCTGGG